CTGCCTGACTGCTGAGCACTAAACCCACAGCATCTGCTCCTCCGTTCTCTCCCTCTGCCTCTTTGCAGGTGCAGCCCTGAATGGTTAGTTCATTCCCACTCCAGAGTCAGTGTGGTTTCGCTCTTCACTTGCTATCCTCTACCATAACCAAAGGAATTCTACACTCAAGGGACCATATAATCAGAATATGTTATTTGGAAGGGATCCGTAGGGATCACGAAGTCCAACTCCCTGCTCCTCACAGGTCTAGCTAAAATGAAACCATATGTTTAAGAGCATCATTCAAATACCCCTTGAACTCTGACAGGCTTGGTGCTGTAGCCAACTTCCCCAGGGAACCTGCTCCCAAGGCTGCCCACCCTCTTGGTGAAGAACATTTTCTAATGTCCAATCTGAACTCTCCTGATGCAACTTCATTCTATTTCCTCATATACTAGTGCTGGTCACCAGAGAAGGGAGACTAGCAACTTCTCTGCTGCCCTTCTTGAAAACACTGTGAACAGCAAGGAGGGTATCCTCAGCTCTTCTAGTATGTGAGCTATACACAGTCTTTAAAAAAAAAGAATTCTGACTTTTCTTCCCTTCTCAGCATTAGTAATGGAAATCCACCCTCTAGCCCAGATTAGCTGTTGTTCACCACCTCTGGGATGTTTTGTGTAGTGCCTCCTGGAGGAGGCACCCATGGGTGGTTGCTCTATAGGAAGGAGCTGTATGCGTCTCCTTCAGGCCTTTGGGTTGAGGGTGCTGATATTTCTGCACAATGGTAAGTAATGTGATCTGTGTGGAGAAGGCAAATACCCTGTCTCTTTTCTGAAAACTTACTGTGGTGCGTTTGTGTATTAAATCTTTCCACATGTTTAAATGTTTCCATATGTTATGCAGCAAGCACTTTGTGTGGGTAAAAGGCAAGTAATGCCATGAGTCAAAAATACTTAAAAGACAGACATCAAGTTAGGAAACAAATGTCATCTTTGTGCAGCATTCAGAGGTAAAGTACAAGGGCTTCATTATTTCCACTACTAGATACAAAATTGATCAGTACAGTAATGATGAAGAAGCACGGAGGTGGCTGAATTTGTAGATGATGCAGTTACTGAGATCTAGAAAAGTCTGTGAGGAACTTCAGCAACTAAATTGCACAGTCATGGTGTCCATTAAATTCATTGTCAAAAAAAGCAAAATCAACCACATTAGAGAAATTAAACCTTCTAGACTCCCTAAAAGAGCTTAATAGTTTCATGGCAGGGTGAAATTTGGATGTCACTGTGTACCCTAACGGAAGATCTTTATTTGGTGCAAAGCTAATTTTAGGTTATATTATGATGCATAAAAAATAGGTGGGGAATAATACACAAAATATAATAATGACACCCTGTGACTCTTCTGTGTTCGTGCTTGTATACTTCTGTTCTTGCTCATCCCAGTGACCATAGGGATAGATGACAGCAGTTCCTTGGGACTAAAGAAACTCTCCTCTGAAGAAACAAATGGTAATGACCAGGGCTTTTGCCTTGGTGGGGACAAGATGGATGGGAATGTTTCCTAGAAGTGCATGTGCACAAGGGTCATTACAAAAATTAGAATGTGCCTGGATACACAGAGTGAGGGTTCATACAAAAAGAGAAGTGCAATGCTACTGAAGAGAGGATATTTATTTAATGTAGCAGCTTCTGAATATAGTTGGAGAGGACTACACAGGGTCAGGGATCTGTGTTCAGAATGCACCTGGAAATGAGCTGTGTCCAGATATTTGTTCCAGGTAAATTGAAGATGTCAGTCTTCAGGAGCCTGAGAAGGATATTCTTGTACTGGTCAATGGAATTGAGGGATTTTCTCATTTGCAATGCATGCATTTCACTGTGATAGAGCTCTAATAAGGACAAATACCAGGAAGTGACCTGAACAGTGTGCTTCCAGTCACCATGTCTGAAATGTCAATCATACTGCTACACGTTCCTGGTGCATGTGGTTTTTGTTAGTGAGAGGAATGATGTGCCAGGCTGTGAGTTGAAATCTTCTGTCTGTACAGCTGCTACCACAGGCTGTATAGAGAAAGTGGCCAGCAAAGAGCTTCTCAGCCTGATAAATGCTTGGATTCACAGAGGCCTTGAGTGTGCAGCCTTAGCTGTGCACCCTTAGACTGCTACTGGCTGGGCTGGGAAGGCCACTGCCCCAGCTTGGGGTGAATAGGGGCTGGGGCATGGGCCACGTTAGGGCACTGTGTTGCTGCCTTACTCACACTTTGCAGTTCAGCCTGGAGTTTATGTGCTGTTCTATTTGCCTCTGAACTTATTTAAAAAACAGTTTGGGGTATTGGTATGCATGGGTGTGTGCGGTGAGTCCATGTTTCTGGTGATGGCCTATCTGTACAGCTCTGCTCCTGTATACTCCCAAGAGTCAGCTGCTGCAACTGGAGAGGGAATCTGCCCTGCAGCATGTCAGGAGCAAAGCTATGGAGGGCTGCAGTGCTTCACAATGTCACAGAATTGGTAAACTGTAGGCCAGAAGAGACTTCTTGGGATTATCTAGTCCAATCACACTTGTTCAAGAGGGGTAAGCAAAAGCAGGTTTCTCAGGCCTGTATCCAGTTGCGTTTTTAGTATCTCTGGAGATGGATGTTCCACAACCTCTTTGTACAACCTATTTCAGTATTTGACCAGTCTCACAGTAAAAACAGTGTTTTCTTGTGTTTAGATTAAATCGCCTGTGTCTTAATTTTTGCCTCACATCCTGTCACTGAGCACTTCTTAGAGTGCCTATCTGACTTCCTCTTCTTCATTCCCTCCCATCAGGTATTTATTTATTCATATTGAAAATATCCCTCCCCCACACTCAGCCTCACCTTGTATGAAAACAATTCAGTCCCTTAATCATCCTCACAGCCCTTCACAAGACTCAGTCCTTCCCCATTCATCCCTCCCATCTGCCAGCAACTGCTGGCCCTGCAGCTTGAGCTTTCTCTTTCTTCGTGCAGGGGACTTTCCCTGCGGGGTGAGGTGCTTCCAGCAGAATGCTAACAGCCAGGCTTTGTTTACAGCCTCAGCGAGGACAGCTCAGCTGTCTGGGCTGGGACTGCGGGATGGCAGTGTGAAGCAGTGTCTTCATGCCTGTTAGTGCTGCAGATGGGCACCAAGATAGCAGAGGCTGTGTCACTTTGTCCCAGTAGTAACGTTGAAAAATGGGGGCAGATCACTTCTCTTCTGCATGGCCCAAGCAGCAGGACTGGCATCCTGGCATGGGGGAGCTGTGTGGATGCTGCACTATGGATCCCTGAGAATCCAGAGTGCTCCTTGTCAGCACTTCTGGGACATCAGCAATGCCTTCACAATTATCATTGCCTCAAGGATGACTGGGGTTTTATTTCTTTTGGCTGCACAGAATGCCCCAGAACACCTCCTGGGCCCTCCTCACCTGTGCCTCCTCCCACCCTCCCATGCTGCTCCCCATGCCTTACTTGCAACATCCCTTCTGTGCACAGGGACTTGCTTCCCAGTGTCTCCAGCCTATTCCACATCAAGTGCCAGAAATGCCACTGAACTCAATGCATTTTGCACAGCGATGGTTTGGTTTTAATCTGGAGGGACAATTTTTAGCCAAACTGAAAGACAAGTTGAGAAAGCAGCTAGAGATGCCAACTACAAATAATTCTGCTGAGAGTTTAGCTCTCTTTGGGCTGAAAGCTACCTTCTGGGCTTATCTGTCTGATTAATTGCTAGTAAAACATTCCAGTAAAGTGAGTTTGATTTAAAGCTATGCTGAATATTGACCTTCCATCCTTTCCATCCTTCCACCAGATTGATAGAACTATTTAAGAAGGACTGAGATCTGCCTAGAAAGAGGCAATGGGAGATTGTGGAGAGTGGAAAGAACATTGTCAGCAAGCAACAGTTGTCTAAAAAATGCAAAATAAAAATAGTTGTTCATTTTCAGTGAAGATCTATGGACCTACAATGTCTATGAGGGATTAAAACCTATGAAAGTCTTAAACCCTGTGAATTATACATTCCAGTAGTTAAGTTCTAAGTGCCTGGCTTTTTGAGTGGATGTAATGTCCAGAGGTAGGTATTAGCAAAGACTGTAATAATAAAAGGTTCTGTGCTGCCTGCAGTGATCAGGGAAATGCTAAGGGAAGGTGCTGTATGTTGTCCTGCATCCCAGAGCTGTCTGATGTGGACATACAGCAGTGGCTCTGGTCCTGGCTGTCAGCATGGAGACACTTGCTACCCTTCTGTCTAATAATTTAATAGGGCCCTGGAATTATGGTAGCATTTTACCAAATATCTGTACAATGCCCATGCCAAGGTGAGCAAAATTGCTTTTTTGCACTCCCAGGATCTTGCTTGCTCTTTGGCTTCTCCCTTTTTTCTCTAAATATAGAGAGAGAACAGAGTCCTGTCTTGTTTCCTATTTGTGCCTCTGACAGGAGAATGAGAATTCTTGTTGTCTAGGTACTTCCCATAGCAGCAACTTAGGGAGTGCACATTTGGATTAAAGAAAAATGCTTCATTAAAGAAAAAAACTGTTACGAATGAGTGGAGACTCATACCAGCGCTGCACCACTCCAGTGAAAGCTGAGTTGGCACCCACTCACTGGCTCACAGAGCCCTGTGGTGGGTAGGGTTTGGACAGTGCTAGAGCCACCTCTCTGTGGTAGTTGCGATGAGGGAAGGCACTTCTGTCTGGAAAGGAGAAATTTGTCTGTACCAATGTTTACAGACACAACCATCTGGCACGGGCAGGCAGCTCAACATGCCTGGCTCTGTGGACTTGAGAATATGTTGGAGCTGACCGTGCTGATCCAGAAGAAGGATTTCTTTCCTTGTTGTTGAAAAGAGTTTGGTCTGTTTTATGAGACTTGGTATCACACTGGTCTTGAATGCAAACTGAAGCCTTGCAAATCAAACCCACACTGAAGTGGAATTGTTGAGGCTAAAATATCAGTAGCTGGATGCTGTCTTATCAGCTTCTCTCATCCTGTCGAATCCTTTTTCTTTCCTCAGGCCAAAGAACTCTCCATCACCGGAGTGACACCCTGGACACGGTGATCCTGGTAAATCCTAATGTGGACAGCATTGTGTCTGAGGTAAGGACCAGATATGCCATCAAGTTCTCTCCACATCAGCTCTCCTGCCCTTGCTTGACATGGAGGTCATGATTATCACACTTTGTACCTTCTGGAGAGTGCAAACCTGCTGCCAGTCTGCTGCAATGTGTGGTGAAAAGGCCAGGTGTTCTGGTCCTGCCAGTAATCAGGATATACACAGTAACTCTGATGTGACATGGAGCTGTGTTGGGCAGACAGCAGCAGTGTCTTCCCTCTTCCATAAGCCACTTCCTCGTATGTAGAAAATGTGGGGTTTGGCTATTTTTGAATAACGTGAGTTGTAGCCTGTTGGTGGGATTGGGATTCTGGGTGCTGGCGTGGAGTACAAGTAAATTCTGACGGCAGCCCTCTGTCTCATCTCCTGTCTGAACAGGTCCGCTCACTTGTGTGTGATTCATCAGCCCACAAACTGCTGATCCTCTGTGGTCAGAGCTCAGACCAGGAAGGAGACTTGGTCCTGCAAACAGGGACCTTCACTTACCAGAAGTTTGCCGAGATACTTTCAGATCCGGAGGTGAGTGTGAGCCATAATCCAGCACACCCCCTCCTGTTCAGAGTGCATGGTAGAATAATGCAGCCTGCGCCCTCCTTCAGGTAATCTTCAGGCAGATTTGCAGACAGATGGGTTTTGAAATCCAGCAAAAAATTGCATACTGTAAATAATTCATGTTATTGTTTTGAGAATCTTGCTTTAACTGTCTTAAGTTTTCCAAGGTGCAGGCATGGGTGATTCCTTTAAGTGTTCAGCTTGAAATAACTTTCCAAACTGGCTCTGCAGGGAACAAACACTTAAAATTTCTTAAAGTGGGTCTTAACATAACTGTGGGCAGCTTCCAAAAACATTAAGAATTTCAAAAGAGAGCATGGTTCTATGCATTGATTTTCCATGGATTTTCAAACTATTTTGTCTACCCCCAGTGTTTTCCATTGGTAAAGTGCTCATGGTATCTTCAGTATTTCTGCATTAACTAGCTGCATTTTTTTTTTTTTTAAGTGCTGTATAGGTCCCAAAGCTCTATTTGACTTTTATTTGTCTGTGCTTATCTCATTAGGTCACCCAGATTCTCAGCAACTCTGATTCAGACACCAAGGCCTCTCTTACTGTGTCGTGCCTGGGAGAAGGAGCCTGGAGCAACCTTGGGCATCCTCGATTTCAGGACATTATTAATCTGAAACTGAATCCTGATCCAGTTCTACCAGAAATGGATGGGGTGTCTGAATTTGCAGAATATGTCTCTGAGACAGTTGACGTGCCATCTCCATTTGATCTCCTGGAGCCACCTACCTCAGGGGGTTTTCTGAAGCTTTCTAAGCCCTGCTGCTACATATTCCCTGGGGGAAGAGGTGATTCTGCTCTCTTTGCTGTCAATGGGTTTAACATCCTTGTGGATGGTGGCTCTGAGAGGAAATCATGTTTCTGGAAGCTGGTAAGGCACCTGGATAGAATTGACTCAATCCTGCTCACCCACATTGGTGCAGACAACTTGCCCGGCATCAATGGGTTGCTGCAGAGGAAAGTTGCTGAGCAAGAGGAAGAACAGTCCCAGGGCTCTACCAACTACAGTGACTGGATGAAAAATCTAATTTCTCCGGAGCTAGGGGTGGTTTTTTTTAACGTTCCTGAAAAGCTGAAGATGCCTGAAGCCTCCATGAAAGTAAAGAGGAGCATCGAAGAAGCATGTATGACGCTGCAGTATCTCAACAGACTGGGCATTAAATCAGAGCCTCTCTACAGGGTGGTGAGCAGCACCATTGAGCCCATCACACTCTTCCACAAAATGGGAGTGGGTAAGCTGGACATGTATATACTGAACCCTGTCAAGGACAGTAAAGAAATGCAGTTTCTAATGCAGAAATGGGCTGGCAATAGTAAAGCAAAGACTGGCATCATTCTTGCAAGTGGGAAAGAAGGTGAAATTTCTGTTCCCTATCTCACATCTATCACAGCCCTAGTGGTATGGCTACCAGCCAGCCCAACAGAGAAAATTGTAAGGGTTTTGTTTCCTGGAAATGCTCCTCAAAATAAGATATTGGAAGGTCTTGAGAAACTCAAGCACCTTGATTTTCTGAGGTATCCAGTGGCTACTCAGAAAGATATTTCTTCTGGAATACCTCCACCTGTGCTGAAGCAGACCAAAATTAAACAAAGAACTGACAGTAAAGAGAGTCTTAAGTCTTCCCCCAAGCCATCTGGGACAAAGCAAGTCAAGAAGGAAGAAGCAGTTGAGGAGGGGATTAAGGAAGTAAAACCAGAAGTTGTAAAGGATGCTAAAATTGAAAAAAAGGTTAAGGAGCACACAGAGAAAGTTCCTGAGAAACCTGTTAAACATGAAAAGATAAAGACAGAAACAAGTGATGCTCTCAAAGCTGAGAAAAGAAAATTGGCAAAAGACAAGGCTGGAAAAAAGCATCTCAAAGAGAAAGTATCCAAATTAGAGGAGAAGAAAGACAAAGAAAAGAAAGAGATTAAGAAGGAGAAAAAGGACTCAAAAAAAGATGACGGAAAGAAAGATGAGAAAAAAGATGCAAAGAAAGATGATAAAAAGAAAGAAAACAAACCAGAGCTCAAAAAAATTTCTAAACCAGACTTGAAACCATTTACCCCAGAAGTAAGAAAAACATTGTACAAAGCAAAACTTCCAGGCAGACTCAAAACCGAGAAGATCAAAGTAAAACCTGAAAAAGAATCTGAAAAGGTACCTGCTGACTTTAAGACATTACCAATGGAGAAGGCACCTGTACAAGTGGATTCAGGAGAGACATCCATAGTGGAACAGAGGTTAGTCCTGTCTTCACCAGAAGATCTTACAAAGGACTTTGAGGAGCTGAAGCATGAGGAGAGAGGGGCCTTGCAGTTGACTCAAGAACTGTCTGATATGGAGGTTAGTGATAAGATTATGAGACCACCTGAAGCAGAGATAAAAGACTCTGTTGATATGGCTGGTCAGAGTAACCTTGAAGTGGATCTGATTTTAAAAAGAAAGATCCCTGACCAAGGAGAAACTACTACTGATACGGAAAAAGAATCATCAGCAGAGGAAATGGCAGTCCATCAGTGGGAGCTGAGGGGAGATACTGCTGAAAAAGTAGAGGATGAAAGAAAAACAATAGATGAAAACCATGACATAAGATACTGGGAGGGAAAAGCTGAGCAGGGCAAGGACATTCAGGTGTTACCTGACAAAGAACACCTGCCATCACACACAGACCTCTTGGCAAAGGGTGTTTGGCCACCAGTGTTCAGAGAGGAAGAAAAGGAGGAAGAGGAGAAAATCTCTTTGGACAGAAAACAGAGGGAAGCAGAAACTTGTGAAAAGTATATTGAGGGGACAGAGATACAGGAAGAGGGTGAGAAGGAAAAGAGTGATGTGATAGAAAAGGCAGAACTGGAAGAAAAGGAAGAACAGCACATGAAAGCAGAGGAGAAAGTGGAGAAGAATAGAGAATTCTGTGGGCTGAATCAGGATGATAGGGAGGACAAACTGTTTACCATTACAGAGAAGGAAAGAGAATTTAGTTTCATGGATGAAAAAACCAAGTTACTTGGAAAGGACATAACAAAGGAAGAGTCGTATCTGAGCAGCCTGCCAGTCCCACCGGGAGCAACAGCAGAACATGTTTCTTATATCCAAGATGAAACTATCCCCGGCTACTCAGAAACAGAGCAGACTATTTCTGATGAAGAAATACATGATGAACAGGAAGAGAGGATCCCACACTTGAAGTATGATGTCAGTGCCTATAATATTTCTGTTCCTGACCATCCAGGCTCTTTTGAAGCAGTACGTGGAATACAGGCCATGCCTCCTGCTGACCTTTCAGCGAAGGGCTATGCTGGGCAGGAGTCTGAAATCCTGGCATATCCTACAAACATTGTGGCAGCACCTCTAGCTGAAGAGGAACACATATCTTCTGCTACCTCCATTACTGAATGTGACAAGCTTTCATCTTTTGCAACATCAGTAGCAGAGGATCAATCTGTTGCATCCATAACAGCACCACAAACAGAAGAGACTGGGAAAAGTTCTTTACTTCTGGACACAGGAAACAGTATGCCCTCTTCTAGGACTGAAGCAACCCAAGGTCTTGACTACGTTCCCTCTGCTGGCACAATTTCTCCCACATCATCCTTGGAGGAAGACAAATGCTTTAAATCTCCACCCCCTGAAGATTTCCATGCATTAGCAGAAGCAGAGAGGAAAGTGGAAACTCAAAAAATGGACCTTCATGAGGAGGCAGAAGATGAAGAAGATGAAGAAGATGGGACTCCAAATATTGAGATGCCTGAGAAACTCCAAGGGCATTACAATGCCCCCGTGTTTGCTCCTCAGGGATGCCCTGACAATGTGATAATCAGTGTTCCCACTGAGATGATGCCTTTATCCACTGAAGAAACACCATTTTCCCAGGCTGACTCTGCAGAGGCTGAAGAACGATGCACGAGTCCTGATGACAGCACAGTCAAAATGGCCTCTCCCACTCCATCTGGCCCCACCAGTGCAGGGCACACACCCTTCCACCAGTCTCCAGTGGAGGAAAAGCTTGAAACAGTAGATTCGGATCTATTTGAAAAACAAACAGATGCTGCTGCCAAGAAACTGGAAGGCCAGACTTCTGTTGTGGTGAAGGGAGACAAGGGTGAATCTCTCAGAGAAGACAAGGCATCTGTGGCTAAATCCAGACATGAAAGAGAAGTTCCTGGACCTGTGCAGCACAAACTGGTTTTGAGCAGTGATGTTCCAGTATCTCCTGAGGAGGAGGTACAGGAGCAACCAGTGAGGAGGGAGGAGCTGCCCTGGCTCTCTTACCACAAGCAGGACACGGTGGTGATTGGGGAGGATGACAAGCATCCCAGCACAAAACACTTGTCCTTCGAGCCATTTGCAGCCACAGGAACTTCTCTAGGAAATGTGGATCTTCCACAGTTCACAAGCCAAAGCAAATCTAAAAATGACAGATCTTTGCAATTGTCACCAGATGGCATCAAATCACCTTCTTTTACAGAAGAAACGATTGGTAAAGAGAAATCCTCAGATATTTCTAAGAAAGTTACTACTGAAAAAGGAAAACAGTTATATTTCACAGGAGACACCTCAGAAGAAGAGAAATCTCATGCTTTTATTGAAGATATTTCACCAGAAGAAACAAAATCCATTTCTCTCACTGAGAGTTCCAGCAGGAAAATCTCTTCAGATGTTTTTATTAAAGGAATTTCTCCAGGAGATATCAAAGCTCTTAGTTTCACAGAAGAGATATCTGCAAAAGAAAAAACTGTGTCCAGCTGCACTGACAAATTCTCTTCAGAAGCTGTGAAATCCATGTGTTTCACAGATCAGAGCCCAGTTACATACGAAAAATCACTGGAAATTTCTGCCAAAGAACTGAAAGAAGCATCAAGATCTTTTCCTTGCCCAGAAAGTAGTTCAGTTAAAGACACATCACCCAGAGATTCTTCAACTGAAGAAATGTCTCCAGATGACAGCAGTTTATTTTCTGCATCAGAAAAGGGCCTGTTGAGGGGAAGAAATGCAGGCATGGATTCTCAGGAAGTATCTCCAGATGCAAAGGGCTTACATTTTACAGAATCTAGCCCAAGTGAAGATAAAACATGTTCACATGTTTCTCCTGAAGGCATAAAATCTTGCAGGTTCAAGGAAGCTCAAGGAAAAAAATCTCCAGAAATGGAAAAGCTTTTCATGAAAGATTTAAGTTATGAGAAGAAAGTGTGGTTTCCAGAAGAGGTAGAAGAGGTCCCTGTTCAGGGAAGGTGGCAGAGGTATGACAAAGAGAGGGAGAGTACATTCTTGGATGAGGTACCAGAATTTGAAACAAAATCCCTTCCTAAATTGGGAAAGGAGGAGAACCTGTCTCCTGCCTTGCCTGGCAGCCATACCTGGAGAGGAGCAGAAAGGGAAGCATGGGGTTCTGCCTTTGGGTATCTTCAGGAAGTGAGAGACAGTGGGAGAGGAGGGCAATTACCCAATGAGGAGGATGAGGAGCTTCACCATGCTGAAGACAAACCCATGCTACTGCAAACAGAAACTGAATGTTTAAAGATGGAGTCATTTGATTACAAAGAAGACACACAGAAGGGTGCCAAACCTACATCAGAAACAAAGAAAGTGGATGTGATTCCTGCTGACATCACTGTCCCAGAAAGAGCACAAAGGGGAGGTTCTCCTTTATCTCCTGAGTATGTCCCTGGCGAGGAAAATCAGGCCAAAGCTTTAACTGGAAACAAAAAAAGTCAAGAATTGTTGTTGACCTCTAAACAAGATTGCTCCTGCTTAGACGAGGAGGAGAAAGCTGTCCTAGATATCTATGCAAAGTCATTAGACCAAATTCTGACATCTCCCCTGTCTGCAGTGGGAAAGGAGATAGAGGCACCACCAGGAGCAGAGAGGCCCTACAAGTTAGATCAGTGCAAGCCACCTTTATGGGAGGATGTCCCATCAAAGATGTCTGAAAAGAAATTAGATATCAGTGATTTGTATCAGGAAATAGATTGCAAATACAAGTCAGGTATCAGGCAAGAGGATGACTGCAAATCCACTGAGGGTCTGTATGACTCTACAGGAAGAAAAGAGCAGACAGCAGCAGCATCTACTCTGTTGCAATCTACGAGAACAGCAGAATTTATTGCAGAGTCCACAGAAGGGAGTGCTGAGCTGTCAGGGCAGTGTGCACATTCTCCTCCAGCAGAAAGCCCATGTCAAAAAAGTAGTGATGCTGTCAGCTGTGCTGGGGCTGTGGGTGCTACCATCCGAGGGGTGTATCCTCCAGAGACCTATTCCAGGAGCTCCCCTGAGCCTTATTCCTATGAGGAAGGGGTCTGCACACAGAGAGATGATGACACTTCCACAAGACAGGAGCTAGAAGAAAGAGAACCAACTCCCTACCCCGATGAAAGAAGTTTCAAGTATGCTGACATCTATGAGAAGGTAATTGTGTCTGGAGTGGGACCCTCCCCCTTCACAGCCATGGGTGCACACAGCCCAGGTCACACTGACAAGGTGCCAGTGACAGCACTGAACTCTCAAAAAGGTAAAAATTTTCATGTGTCTGCAAAGGAAGAAGAGTCCTGCCTTTATACCTCTGCTGAGAAGGAACTGTCATCTCCAGCATCCCCTAAGGATAAAGCAGATGCAGTCTTTGACTATAGAGACATCCATGAAAGATATTTGCCCTTGTCTGAAACAGGGAAGCCTAGGACATCAGAAGGACAGGAAAAACTGAATGTGTCTTCTGCTTTGCCAGGAGAACTGGACTCTGCACTGCACCCATCATCTGCAAGTGCAGCATTTGCCTCTCCCACCATCACAACTGATACCTTTTATCAAGAAAAATCATCCACCTATATTGATGCTGGTTGTCCAGATGAGAATATAATTTTGTCTAGCCAGGAGCATGTATCTTTGTCTGTGAAATCTGAAATCCCAAATCCCAAGGATGTCTACTATGAGAAAGCAGGTCGAGGGGAAGAAAGTGCAAGTGACTCAGAACTAGAAAAAGGTGCTAAGGAGAAGTCTGAAAAAGAGTCTAAACTGCACAGCCCTGCTGAAGCTGCAAGTACTGTCTATACACGCATCTCAGCCATCAGCAACTTCCCTGTCTCAGACCCCTTCCTGCAGAGCAAACGTCAGGAGTCCCTTTCACCCAGCTCTGCTGCCTCTTCTCCCTCTGGTCCAGGCTGGCAAAAGAAATATGAAAGTAGGACAACTGCATCAGCTGCTGTTGTGGAGACATATGTTGCTGGTTACAGTGACATGCCAGACACAGACAGAGATGAGCAAACTTCAGAAATGTGCCATGATTCTTCACAAAATATAGAGGTTGCTGAAAAATCCACAAAGGAATCCCATTTCTGGGTAGCAGATTATCCAAGTGCAGCAGTGGCCTCCGAGTGCCAAGAGCAAGCCATATACCTGAAATCTGCTTCCAGCAAACAAACAGAAGTATACGAACAGGGCCCAAGGGTCAAGAGCAGAGGGATGGATAACTCTTCCACATTTGAAACAGCCAGCGCATTCAACAGACATAAGCAAACCTCAGCAAGCCATTTAGGGGATATTTCTCTTTCTTTAGAGTCTCCTTGTGCTTTGTTCTCAGACCAGGGAAACAAAGATGAGTACTTGGAGGTTTCTGAGAAAATCAGCAGCCTTGATTCATCTTTTCCTAAATTCTCACTGCTGAGTCCATTTGAAGAAGACAAGGTGTTCTCCAAAGGTGTGGAGAAAGAGTCTGTCACCCAGCAGCAGCTGAAAGATGACTCTTCCAGCCTGTCAGAGGAACCTTCATCTGACGCCACCACTCCTGTGATACAGACTACAGCAGAAAGTTTCTATTCCCATATGCTTTCCACATCCACAGGCGCAGGAGTAGAATCAAGTACCAGGAGTGCTTGGGATGTGTCTCCACTGGTTCCAGATAATGCTGTGAAAATACATGCAGCTGAAACCAAAGACTTTGTCTTTGCTGAAGAACATGGGTCTCCATTTCCCTGTGGCATGGGTGACCACACCTTGCCATGCAGAAAAGAGTGCCAGGGCTCAGAGCCCACACCATTCTCTGCAGAGCAAGAGCAGCAGCACTGTGGTAGCAGCCCAGAGCAGAAGGCACCATTTGCAGAGCAGCCATTGCCACTGACATCTCTTCCTGACGTGTTGACATCATTTTCTCATCGTCAGCACAAAGATGAAACCACAGCTAATGGTCCAACAGAGGTGAGCACCAGTCTGCCAGCTTTCCAAAGCACATACCATGCAGCGGAGGCAAAAGATGAAAAAACATGTCCTGATTCTGACAGCAGTTTTTCTCCATGCACAGGCAAAGAGGAAACAGAGAGGCAAAGCCGTCCTTCCTCTCTGATGTCCCCTGAAAACAGTTTCCAGCCATTTTTCCCAGATGTGCAGAGGGGTAAAAAAGCAGAGGACTGTGGAGATGCTTCCCATGACATGGAGACCCATTTAGGAGGCAGTTCTGATTGTGGACAGAAATTTTCCTCATGTGAATACAAGCAGAGAAAGGGAGAGCTCTCTCCCTCATTCATCAACCCAAGCCCCCATGAGCTCTCTGACGACAGTGACCTCTCACAGGAGGAGGGTCACCCTTCAGTGCAGGGGAAACCACCCCACACTGGGAGCAGTCCCATGCAAAGTGCTACAGTGGAGGAAACTCCTCCAACATCAGTGAGTGATTCTGGAACCTCCCAGTCAGACTCCGATGTCCCTCCTGAGACTGAAGAATGTCCATCCATCACAGCAGATGCCAACATGGACTCAGATGAAGATGCTGATTTCCTCCCAGTAGACAAAGCTGTGGGGAATGCTCATCATGCCAGTTCTAGGTCCAGCCATGATCCTCAGCCTGTTCCAATGGTAGATCCCCATCCCCACCCTCCTCACCCTGATGTCTGCATGGTAGACCCTGATATATTGTTAAATGAGCAAGGTATGAGCAGAACTGATAAAATTTCCAAGAAAGACATAAAAGAAAAGAACAAAGGTGTGAGGAAGCCTTTGAACAAACCTAAATCTTCTTCACCTGCCCGGAAATTAGATGTGAAAGGGAAACGATCACCCACGCCTGTGAAACAGTCATCTGACAAATCTTCAAAATCTGTCGCTGCCAAAAAAGAAAGAGATGGAGGAGAAAAGCCCAAACCACGTGGTGCGCTGATGCCAGAGGATGAGTTATCCAAGAGCAGTCACAGCAACCCTGGCAAGAGCCTTGTTAACGGCATCAAAACAAATCCCGGTAAGAAATCCTTCCTGAAAAATGCATTATCTCTATAGGTCCAACACAGAGAAAAGCACTAGGTTAAACACAGCAGAACAGAGAACAGAACTTCCCAGTCAGGCATAAAAAGTTATAAGCAGTGATAAAGTTGAGATGCACAAAAGGTTGATTTCAAAGTGCAATAGAGTCCTAGGAGTAGCAGCAATTCACAGGGATGGCAAGAAGCCAGCATGGACCTTCCAGAAAGACTACTGTAATACCCCAGGATAGCATACATAGGCCATCAGAATGGGGGATGGGGTGTATCTGTGTGTTTAAGCAAATGTAGGTTATTAACAAGGACTAAATATTAATTGGAAAGACAACTCCGCAAAAGTTAATAATGGAGATTTTTGGTTCCCTTCCTCAGAAAAAAGGTTCTGATCTAAAGCTTTCCAATCCCTCCCCAAAAATATAGCAAAACCTCCTTTTCCACCCCAGACCTATGACAGCACTGGCCCAGAAATGCATCCTGGTCACCTCTGAGCAGCAGAGCGTGAGTAAGTCTCAACTTCACTGCTGTAATGTAAAAGTCTTTCTGGAATCCAAGTCCTTCTGTGTTAATCTGAGTGTTTGACCCTTGCAGAAGGGTTTTGATAGCCTCTTGTTTCCTGTTTTCCAAAGCTTCCAATAGTCCTAAGAGCAGTTTGTCAGTGCCTATGGGTCCACCTGTCTACGTGGATTTGGCCTACATCCCCAACCACTGCAGTGGGAAGAACACAGATCCAGAGTTCTTCAAGCGGGTTCGAGCATCTTATTATGTTGTGAGTGGGAATGATGCAGCCAATGGAGAGCCAAGCCGTGCAGTGTTGGATGCGCTTCTGGAAGGGAAGTCTCAGTGGGGAGAGAACCTGCAGGTAGGTCATAGAAATGCAAAGGGGTGTGTCATGCTTTTGATGTCACAAGTGCTCAGAAGAAGATGGGTATCACTTACACAAGGGAGTACACTGAGAGGAAGCAAATGGGACTGGGCATACCCTGTTTTGCAGTTTCAGCAGTAATTGTTTGTACCTATGAGGAGGAGGACACCTGAAAAATGGTATGAATGGAAGCAGATATGTCCTCTTTTCCACATTCTCCTGAGGGGAGGAAGCATTGAGAGATCATACACTCATCCTTACCTACTGCAGGATGAGCCTATCCTCAAGCAAAACCAAACACCAACACAAACTGAATTTTCATCAGTGTCCCACACCCAGTGGCATCTGTTGCTAGCCTGGCTTGCTGAAGATTTTTCTGGCATCAGTTTACTAATAGAGCATTTAAACAAGAATGTTCTGTAACACAGTTCTTGCTTAGGCAGGCTTGCAGGACACTCCTGGTGGGCACTCCTGAGGACATGTACAGAAAGGTATAAATGTTCTTACAGATGAAGCAGCCTCATATTTCAAGGTCCCTGAGTTGCACACTGGGTCAATGGGCACATAGTGTCCATTAACAGTGACACTGCCAGTATTGTTCCTTTTCACACTGAAGGATCTTTATGAGGCTGTTTCTAGCACTCCAGGGCACAATGCTCTCCCCTGCACTGCAGCCATTCTCATCATTATGGTGTCAGTGCTGCCAGTTTGCAGCCAGCTCAGAGTCCCATTGTGCTGGCACTGTATACAATAAAGCTTTGCCTCAGAGCCCGACATCTGAAAGACACTAAAATAGAACAAGCAGTACCAAGGGTACAGTGTTCCAAAATTAAAAAGAAATTTTAGCCTCAGCTCCTATGGGCATTCTTTGTCACTGCAGTTGTTCTCAATCATCCCTGCTGCTTTCTTTTCCCAGGTGACATTGATCCCAACACACGATACTGAGGTAACACGAGAATGGTATCAACAAACCCATGAGAAACAGCAGGAGCTAAACATCATGGTACTGGCAAGCAGCAGCACTGTTGTGATGCAGGATGAATCTTTTCCAGCCTGTAAGATTGAATTCTAGATCTCACACATTTTGTGTTCATCCATTGATTCTTCAGTCACCAATGCAACATGAGAGACACCATCTAATCACAGTCCAGTTCTTCTCTGGTTTAGTCCTCTACATGGTTCCCATTTGTCAGGCAATCGGGTATCCATCTTGCTCAGCACTGGATGCCATGAGGAAGAAGTGCAGGGCTCTGTAGTTTTCTGGACTGAGCTGAGAGTTTGTACAAGAGCAGTTGCAGGCCAGGGGCACTTTCACCTTCCCAACTTTATTCTGCTGCCTGTACAGTTTCTGTAGACTATCTTGGCTGCCTTGCTGCTGTGAGAGCTTGTTCTACTCTCTTCCTGGCTGCCTTGCCATTTAACCTGAAGCACTATGAACCTTGCCTTTCTGGTGAGGGCTGAAGTGCTGCTGCTGCATGCAAAGTGCATGGGAGGTGGGGGCAGAGGCGAAATCCAACTTGCAAAGAAATTGCACCAGGGAGATGAGGGAAGAGAAAACCCTCTGAACTGCAATGTGACAGTGAAGGTCATTCTTCCATCTTCCCTCCTGAGCATACAGGAGGTGTTCTGAGCAAGGGGACCTGTGCTCCAACTAGGCACAACCACCACATGCCAGCTTGGCAAATTTCTGTCCCAAGTACTCTCCTGTGGCATCCTGCAGCACCTGTTTGCTGTGCTCTGGGAGCTGGGATGAAGGACATGGCAGTGGGAGAGGAGGGTTCAGCACATTCCTAAGTTGCTAACTTGAGCTTCACACACACAGCAGCCAACTGACTCCTGCATTCCAATTGTGTGGCAGGAGGAGGCACAGAAAGGCTGTGGCCTGAACAGTTACACAAAAAGAGCATCTAAACGCACAACTACAGCCCCCCTCAACAGCAGAAGGGCTGAAAAAACCTTGGCCATGCTCGGCCTGGAATGTACAAGTAACCTCCCTCTTCCTAAGCCAAAGGCTCTGGAGGACTGTGGTGAGGCAGCTGAGGAGCACGCAGGCCATGCTGGGGGAGGCTGGTGCCCAGCTAGCCTTGCTGTGGTGGGCCAGCTCGCACACAGCAGCCATCTCCTTGCTGCCTGTGTGCCAGGCTCCAAGCTTTATAGTTGTATTCAAGGTTTTTGTTGTCCCCTCAGCTGTCCGGATGTGGGGAATACAACTTGCAGTGTGAGGGAAGAGAAGGCCCTTCCCAAAATAGTCGGGAAACAGTAGTTTAGCAGATGTAGTCATTCTCAGTCCCCCAACACTGTGGCAGGGATGTGCTGGCAGTGTAGGTGAGGTGCTGCTCATCCATGTGGTGCCACCTCACAGCTTGTTCCCTGGCCTGAGCATCACTGTGGGCATCTGGCCTTGCTCTCTGGATGCCCTGGCAGAAACACGAATATTTGCAGTGAGTGCATTGTGGCTACTGACTAGCCACGCAGAACCTCTGTGGCACACAGACCTGTTCAGTGTGGGAGACATGTTCTCCCAGCAGGGAGTGGGCTGTTCAGGTGCACTAAGCCTGCAGCATCCATGAGCCTTTGCCACATCCAAGAGAACTGACGGAGGATCTTACCACAAAGACAGCATTTCTGTAAGACAAAGAGAGTGGCAGCAGGCTGTGCTCTGGGAAAGAAGGAATGAGATGGAAAGCTGTGTTGCAATGGTTGTCAGTCAGCTTGTATTGCCATCTGCTGTGACACCCACTGTGCTTGGCCCTGAGCAGAGGGCTGACTCCATGAGCATCCTCGGACCCTGTGTTGCACTTGCCTGGGACATTTCAGTCTCAGTGCTAGTTTTCTGGCATGTGACATGAAGAAAATGCTGCTTAGAAACCTGCTCCTAGCACTAAAATGGAGTTTCTAGGGAAATGGTCTATTTTACATTTTAATTTATATATTTATTTTTTTAACGTTAAGCTGCATTTTGTGTTGATTTAATATTTTAATTTATACATGTTAACCTGATACCATGTACTTTAAGTGTCACTTCAGAGGTTTCTCAGTACAAATACTAACATGCTGCAATTTAAACAAAATGAAAAGACCATAGAGAACTTGTGGGCAGCAAAAATGTCTCTGCAAGGTTGTGTCTAAAACCCAGCAGCTGTAGGACAAGGCCTGAGGCCAGCAGCCTCCCCAGGGCACAGCTAGCTCTTTGGCTATGGCCCTTGTTAGGAGCATGTGAGCTTACTCAGGGCTTTAGCAAATCCCTGTCCTGTGCTGTGTTCATTTTAGCCATGGAATCACACTGTGTCTGCCAGCATAATAAATGTGATTCTCTGAACCCCTAATAGGGTCAGCATTCATGAATGTTGGTTCTGGCAATTGCAGGCACTAAAACACCTGCCCCTGCCCCTTCCTAGAATGCTGGGGGGCTTTGCCTACTGTGCTTTGGGGAGACTCTGGCTCACTCGCCGTGGTGGCAGCTGCAGGATGCCAGACACCAGAGGCACAAGCATGGCCCTCACTGGCACCTGGGATCCCTCTGCGTAGCTAGATGTAAAAGCTAATGCACTAACTTTAGATAGACCCACATATGAATGTTTTCCTTTTAAACTTGAAGCAATTCTGACTAAGCAGAAGTAATAGTGAGGCTTTGTGAGGTACCTGCATCCTCCAGGCAGGAGTGTGGCCACTGGTGGATTCCAGGAGGAATACTGCCCTCCATGCTCTGCTCCTGCCCTCTGCAGCTCTGCTGCTTGGCTACCTTTATCCTACACCACTTTGCTTCCCTGTCCTCAAGGCTCCACGGGTTTTTTTCAGTTTTTGTCGCAGTCTATTCTGCCTTGAGCTTCTCTCACTCCCTATCTCCCTCTCTCCTCCACCCCCTTCCATGTTAAAAAAACAATGGGGAAAAAGACTTAGGAAAAAGCTGATTCGTGGAGTATGGCCCTGCTCAGGCCACAGGAGCCAGCAGGACCCACCTGGAGCCAGAGGTAATACAACACTATAGAGAGAAACAGTTAAACTCTGCTTTCGCTTGTTTCTGCATGTGGGCAACAACGCGTAATCCTCCTGTATGTAATAGGTAAAAAATACTATTTTAAACCTATAATTAAAAAAGTGAACGTCTTAATTGTATTGAAATGGCATCTTGTGCTCCTAGCTTCTATGCTAAATGTTTTAAGAAGAGAGCCCTGATTCTTTTCTTCAGCATCACATTTCTATTTGAATTTAGTTCCTTGAGTTCTGTCCTTTTGCCCATTTCCATGTGAAACACTGTAACTAACTGCTGTCAAGAGAGGAGCCCAACGCATTAATAATAAAGCCACATTAATTGCGAACAAGAACATCTCCAGTGGTTTCCAACTGTTCTTTCAGTGAGCCCACGCTTGTGGGCAGGAGCACAAAGACATGGCTGCTGTGCCTCCCAGCTTAGGCGAGCCCCAGGTTTTCCACCAACACCCCACCTTCACCAGCAGCTGCTAAACTTTCCTGTGACTCAGAAAGGGACATGCACATAAGGCCACAGAGCCTGCCTGGAACAGCCCCCCACCCCTGGCCTTAGCAGGGTATTAGTGGGTCCCTCCTGGGAACATCTGGGACAGCTGGCTAAGGGCTGTAGTGGGGGAAGCAGCTCCTGATAATCCAGTGAGGGGCCTGGCATGGCCTGTCTGCCATGCAACACCATCACTCCTCACAGTTCCAGAATCATGCATTCCATTGCAGTCCCTGCACTTCTTGGGAATGGCAACTCTGCCCAGCTCTGCTGGCAATCTGAGCAGGAAGGGTCTCTGGCCCTGTGGCAGGTGGCACACCTGCTGCCTTGGGATCTGGGCACAGGCATGCCAGGATTCCATGCTGCCTGACCCCACTGCAGCAGGTTGGCTGCAACCCCATGGCCAAGGTGTCTGTGCAGATCTATAAAGCAGGGAGAGAGAGTGCAGGGCAGGCACAGCAAGCTGTGAGGGGGGCTGGGGTACTCCCACACAGTGCTGCACCCTGGGCGGTTGCATGACTGCTCCATTCTCAGTGCAAGAAAACATGTTCTTTCTTACGTGCCCAAAGTGGCATTCCTGGGCATGAGGAAAAGAACATGACACCCAGGATGAGCTTGAAGTGACAGGAAGGTGTGGACCAAGTGAAAAGAGCTGAATGAACACACCATTCCAGTGTCTTAATTCTACCACAAACGCCCCTGAGACCTGGGAAGCCAAGAGCTCTTCCCCAGAATGACGACTTCTCCCATGTAGGAAAAAGGAGGTTTTTTTCCTGGCCTGGAGCCTATGATTTTACTGCAGGCCTGACTCCAGCTACAGCTGCTCTTCCAGAACAGAGCATGAGCAGTGCTTACTGTTCCAAGTACCTGCAAGCTTCAGCACATAAGACACTGCTGCCAAGTCAACATCAGAGACACAGAGACAGTGGACCCACAGCATAGATTTACTGTGAACACATATTGTCACAACACAGCATAGAGATCTTTGGGCACAGCTTCACAAAAACACAGATCCTAGCTACAGACAGACACGCAGACTTGTCCATAAATACAGGAGGAGTAGGAAGCACAGCCCTGGCCGACACTCAGGATGCGGCAGGGACACCCGTATCAATCTTGCCCTCAGGCTTGTGCTCACAAGGCATCTACATAAATATCCATTAAATACTTTTCATTTTATATAATAAAGATTTATCCTTATTGGTTTCTAATAGTCCTGAATTGTCAAAATTGCAGTTTCTTTTAATCCCTTTCACCAAGACCACAGAGTTTTACCCTGCCTGATCATTGGGGATGAGAAAGAAAACCTGCGTGTGTCTTCCCTGCACACCTCTCTCAGGCTGGATCCCAAGGGCTCCTGCCTGCCCCAGCAGGGAAACATCCAAGGCCACACCAAAGGGATGTTTCCTTGTGAGTGGAAGTCAAACCTGATGCCCTCTTTTCCACTACCCTTCTTTTCCACACTTATTCAGAATGCTTTCTGCTTCTGCTAGTTTTCCTACCATGGACTCTCTGGACCTGATTTTGGTGGCCAGCAGGGGGAATTGAGAGAGGAAGAAGGAAGAAACAGAGAAGAGGTTAGTGGTTGTGATGGATCCGATTAATTTGGGTCCAGAATGCCTTTCTCTGAAGTCTGTGGGCCAAAAGGTTGCGAGGGAGGATCTGTCCCTTTTGGACTTAACCACCCTAAAAAGCCTTGGCTGTGCCAGTCCTCTAATGCTGCTGTCCCAGTGAGCACAAAGCCCTTGGGACACCAGTGCAGCACCATGTCCCTGCTCCATGGAGGTGCCATACCAGTATCAAGATTGCATTGTTGTTCATTTGACGAGGCAAACATCTTGCTGAATGGCAAAGAGCTGGCTTGTGGAGAAGCAAAGCAGTCTCTTCCACACCACAGAATCCTGTGGCCCTGGGACATGGCTTCTTCTCTGCTATGGACTGCCAGCTGTGTGAGGTGCCAAGCAGGAATCTGGGCTGCTTTCAGGCTTAGAACTGCTTGCAAGTGTACTGTCCAGTAAGCCACTAAATTTGCTGATCGTTCTGACACAGCTGTTACAGTTCCTCCACATTCTTCTCAGGAGGCAGTGGCTGCACCTGGCACAGGTGATCAGAGAAAAGCTGGTCTGACAGAGCACTGTCCCCCAACAGCTCCTTGCCTGTATGCTCTGGGTCCAACACCTCTCCCAGCAGGTCGTCTGCACAGGGCACCAGGATCTCCTTGGACAGCCCAGACTGATCCAGGCCAGTCATTCCCCTGACAGACTCCTCCCCAACCAGCCTCAGGTCAAACCCCTCACCACACTTTGAGTTTCCTATGTTACTTGGCTCTAACATTTCCTCAGATGATTTTCCTTCATCCCGTTCCCCCATGCTCTTCTCTTCTGGGTTAGCGTCCTCCCCTGCCAGCTCCCTCTTGCACAGCTCCAGAATCCTGCCTGGCTCTGGGCCCTTATTCCAGACCAGGGTCTCTGGGGCGCTTGGCTCTGCAACTGACAGCCCAGACACGCCGTCCTGCACGTCAAACCCTCTGCCTGGAGCTTGACTCTCTTCCTGCTCAGGGGACTGGCTAGTCAGCTGCTCCTCGCTTTTGGGGGGGCTGATGGAAAGTTTCTCAGCGAAGCTGAAACGAGCACAATTATCCACAGAAGTTGGGGAGGACGGGCCTGCACTGGAGACGGTACTGGAGGGGCCACTGCTGTCTGCAAAGAGAAAGAAAAATTTTAAAACAAGTAGCTGGAATTTTCCTACCCAAACTGTCACAGTCCCACAGTTCTACAACGAAGAGGTGATAGCTGTCTATATGCTGTGTGACCTGTCAGGGGCTTGCAGCTGGTCTTGGGCATTTCCAACAGTTCAGCTGATGAAAACCCAAGCACACAGAGTACAATTCTACCTTGTAATCCAGTGCTATGATGGCATACAGCAAAGAGTGGATTCTATTGTCACAGCACAAAATGTGAAGTGTGATGTTTCGCTTCAAAATGAAAACCAATTTATTTCATTCCCTTACTATTATGAAACAATCCCAGCTTCAGTTTGCTCCTCCTGGTTCCTGACACACACAGTCCCTGAGTGTTGAGAGTCAACACTAGAGAAAGAAATATTGATTCTCTACTAATGCTTATTGTTGCCTTATATTGCAGAATAAGCAAAATTAAAGAAATACCTAGATTGTACCTAATCCATTAAAGGAGAAGAATTAAACAACTGTTTTCAGCCAGACTGGTTTCCTGACCTTGCTGACTTCACAGACTTCCCTCCATCCCCATTACATTTGCCCCTGACCGAGAGCAGAGCACACTCACACCAAGGGGGCTTATCCGAACGCGGGCGCAGCGGCAAGGACGATGATGACAGGATTCGCTGGGACATAAAGGGGTCTCCGGGTATCTGGCTCCCAATCATTGAATCAAACAAAGCTTCAAGAAAAAAAATTCACAGATCAGTAATCTGACAGACATAAAGGAATGGCTTGTAGCCCAGCAGTCATGAGCAGGTGCTCTGGGAAGAGCTAAATACCGGTGCCAATTCAGAGCCATGCCTGCCCATCAGCTCCTGGGAATCTGAGGCTAAGATTTCCAAAGCTGGAGTCGGTATCCTCTGTTACAGTGTGCTTGGGCTATGCTTTTCCCCATTTCCAGGGACCCCTGTGACTCAGATAAGCCTGGTCCCCTCCTTCCTGCCCTGACAGGGTTGGCGGAGAGCCAGAGAAGCCCTCCCTGTCCAGAGCCTAGATAAGCCCATGACCCTTCCTGTTCACTCTCTTTTCCCCCCTCACCTCATGGAATAAAGAAGCTGGACAACCACATCAGGGTGAGAGCCTCTTTTGAATCTTTGCCCATCTCCTGATGTTCCTCCCCTCAAGGCCTCGTATCTCTGGGTTAGCCTAATAATTTAGGGGATGAGAAGAGTAGGAACGTCAATCCTCATCACTGTATTCATCAGCTACAGACAGACCTAACTGACTGATTATTTGTCACGTAAGCGGCCTAGGATGGCTCTGAGCTGGCTCCACGGCTCATTCCTGGGCTAGAACACACTGGGACAGGCTCTAGGGACTGCACTTATCTCCAGTCCTGTCCCAAGAATGTAAAAGAGCAGGAATGCTTCTTGCCTTGCCAGAGACAAGCCCACCTGACCAGTACCTGCTGTGGACTGGACATGCGATTCACTGCAGCTCTTGCACACGGCTGTCAGGAACTCATTGACCTGCCGCAAAGAGAGGGAGTTGTGGAGGGTCTCCAGGGGATAGATGGTGGGAACCATGGAACAGCCTTCAAAACCTGGAAAGAGACCCAAGCAGAAAATGAATAGAGAAAACAGCAGGGAAAATCCATGCAGGAGCACTCATGGCTGAAGGAACTGGGCACTCTGGGAATCAAACAACAGGCACACTCAGGCCTCAGGTCATCTCTTCTAGCCCAATAAAATCACCACGAAGCAATCCCATGCAGTAACAGATCCGAAAGCAAGCACCTGAGTACACATGGAGGGGAGAGGAGGAAAAGTATTTGGCAGCTGCCATTTTTGCTGCTGATCCTGGGACACTTAAAATATACAGCCATGACAGAGAACTTGGCACAGAGCTTGGCACAGTGCCCCCTCTTACAGAAGCCAAACAGAATCAAAGTGGTGCCAACAGAATTTCCATTAAAAAGGTCCCACTGCTGGTGACCCCCTGCCTGGCACAGCCCCCTCTCCTAACAACAGGGAGCACACTGCAGCAGCCACAAGGAGACACAGAACCTCCCTGTCACAGCAGCCCCCGCCCCGTGCACCCCTGACACACTGTGTCCAAAGGAGGGGCTGGGTAATGACTTGCATTATTTGTCCCCTTAACTAGACTTCACTGCCAGCAAACCCAGAACGAGCACAAATAGGCATCTCAGACACTTTCTCAGAGATAAACTGCAGCACAACCATCCAGAATAAATCCTCTGCTGCCCAAACCAGCGAAGTATCATAGCAAAGCATCTTCCTCTTCATCCCAGCTTCCTGTAAATGCTTTGTGGAACCAAGCCAACCTGAACTGCCAGAGGAGCAAGGAAGAAACAGGTGAATCCCTGGGTATATGGAATGAAGCTGCCCCTGGCTCTGCACCTCTCAAGGTAAATGGCCTCTCAACTCCTCAGGGTTCCCATTCTCTGACCCGCCCCCACCCCAGTCTCCTCCAATGACTTCAAAAAGACTCTGGAAAGAAACTGTTTGTTTCTACAGAGAAGTAAAAATACTTTGAAATGCAAAAAGTAAGAGAGTTCTTGATGGAATCCGTGGTAGGATGTCTGGCCAGCACACCAACAGGATAAATCTGACCTCTGCAGCTTGGCAGCACCTCAGGAGAAGCCCTGGAGTACCTGTTTGTGTACTGCAGACAGTTGTTCAAGTTACCTCCAGGACAAGCTCTGCTCCAATACCCTCACTTAACCCTCTGCAAGAGGCAAGGAGCATGAGCCATGAAGGTGTTCACTGCAGTAATTAACAGTTGGTGGAGATAAAGAATCCTCTAGACAGTTGATGAGGTTATCTATACCACAAAGGGCCTACAAACATAATTCAAGACAGAAAGGATAACAAATCCTCAGCTAGGATGAAGCAACATAAGACACAGGAAAAAGACCACATTCTTGTGTCTGTTGCTGAGAAGTCCTGAGAGTGGACATGTTGAGCAAGGAAGAATGCACCTTCTTCATTTTCTCAGAGGCCTCCTGGGAGACAGAGCTAAACGAAAAAGGTGAGGGCAAAACTTAAAATGGTCACGGCAGGTAGTTATGGAGCAGCCCAGTTTGAAGCTAATGTCATTTCATAACAGAATCTGGTTTGAGAGGGGCCAAAGTTGGCTCAGATATTGGGGTCTTTAAAGAAAAAAGGAAGTTTAAATATAAGATAGGGCAAGGCAATGTTACAAGATACACTGGGGGCACCAATGGGGATCTGAGTGCTTGAGCTCTCCTCTAGTAAGATGAGGAAATCAAAGGTCCAGCATTAAAAGAAACATTAAACAGTGACACACAGCTGGTGTGAAATCATATACCCATGATTTCACATGGGTATATGTATCCCCAAAGTGCCAGGTCCCTGCTCATGCAACTCTGCACAGCGTTGTGGCACTGCACCACTCTTGAGCAAGCAGAATAAAATGGCCAAAGTTTCCTCTTTCAAGGTGGAGGAATATTGTGTTCAAGGAATCCTTCTCATTTGTTTACGGGACCCCATTTCCCTGCACACCTCCCTAGACCTGCTGTGCTGCTGGGGAAGAGGCCAACAGTGGCTGATGCCACCACAGCACAGCTAAGGCAGCAGCCGCCACTATGGATAACAATCCTCACGTGTCTCCAGTGAAGGCTCCAACCACTGCTGCACCACACACAGCTAGCAAAGAACCTTTGGGAAGGGGCAAGAAGAATAAAAAGTGACAGCAAGCCACAGGAACCATCCTTGACTGACAGTTACCCTGTGCTGACTGTGCAGCTACTGCTGATGTTCCCCTAAACTCTTTCCTGGGGCCTGAAGGGCAGGAATCTGTGATGCAGGCAATGGCACAGGAAACTGGACAGAATTACATCAATTTTGTACCAACATCCAACAGCAGCCCACAGAGGAAGTTCTGTGTGCCAGTGTTCTGCATGCCAGCTCTTCTGGAGTGAAGAAGCACTTGTCCAGTCTCAGCACAAACAAAAGCACTCACCAGGCTCCTCTCTGACATGCATCATCAATCCACTCCTATTTTCCTGGATGAATTCCAACATGCCACATGTATATTGTATATGAAGGGTTACAAGTCTAGACAGCACATGTGACTGTCTAGTCATGTGCCCCAAACATCAGTGACCCACAGAATTGCTACGGACATCGTCTGTCTGTTCCATATTCTCGTCTCCCCTTGAACTCAGTTAAGCTCCCAACATCCCCAGGTACCGTAGTATGGAGCTTGGAAAAAAACCACTTCTGTTCAAAGTATCTCAGCTCACTCCATTAGAAATCTTCTTGCTCCTGGATCTACACAAAATTGTGGATCCCCACCCGTTCCCTCAGACCACTCAGACCACTATTACAAGCATCCTTCCCCGATTTCTAATTTAGCAAATTTCTACCTTTTCCACATTGTCTCAAGTGATGATGGTGAGATCAGAGCCCACTATTTTATATATAAGAGTTTGGGGTTGTTTCATTTTGTAATTTAAATTCATTTACACTGGACATCACCACTACTTTCTTGCTCATCATCACAGGGCCACTCTGTGTCCACAGCTGACCTTTGGCCTCAGTACCAGTGTGACTCATTACCAGTAAGAACTTACTTCACAAATTTCTTTTTCCCAGCTATGACCACACAGGTTCCTAAACATTCCTTCAGGGCTCCACTGTTGATCTTTCCAACTATGGATTCCAACTGCATACTTCTGACTCACTGATTATATCTTCTAATTCATGTTTCCTTTGTGTGGATAGAAGTACAGTGGAAAGCCAAGAGAGGGCAGAAGAATGCAGTTTTCACAAGGAAGAAACCTGGGCTGCCAACCATGTCTGTTCTGAGAAGAGCCTCATCAGGAATCCCAAACACATCAATGAACTGTGGGCTTGCTGTTGGACTGTTGGGAAAGCAGCATGAGCTTGATGGTGGAGATTTGATTTCCAGCTGGGAGGACTGCTGCGCTGGTAGGCAGTCAGGTGAGGAGCACCTAATGCCTGTGTCTGGCTGTGTTGGGGCAGGATGTGCCTCCCAGCAGCCGACTGTGTCCAAAGCACTGAGCTCATTTTCTCTCCCCACCTAAGCTCACAAACATGGCTAAGTCTTGCTCTGAAGCAGTCTACTGTGATCCAGCATCTCTTCCCTTGAAGCCATTCTGCTCCTCTTTAGCATTTGTTGCCAGGAGAACAAGGAATTGTCCTAATTACATGTGAAAAGCAACTGTCTCCAAATCGTGCGCTTGACAGAAAGGGCCATATCAAGGAAAAACAGATGTGTAAGAAAAATTCTCATCTTCCAGGTTCTGAAAATGCTTGGTGCCACTGCTTCACTACATGGAAGGCTGCACTGTCTGTGCCCCTTCCACCTGTGGGTCTGAATAGAAAAGGGGATCCATGCATCACACCACACAGCTCAGCAAGCCACATGCTCCGAGCAGCTCCTATGATGCAGGTAAACCTCAGCAGCCAGCCCCAGCTCGCTGCCTCGTTCAAGGAGCAGCAATCTTTCTGCCTGTGTCAGAAGCACCAAGGCCTCCATGCACCAGACCTCCTCTGTCTGTGACAGAGGCTGAGAAACACCAGAGAAACAGCAGCAAGCTTTAAATTGTAACATCTGGATTCAATGCTGAAGTTGCCTACCTCTTCCCACCAGAGACAGGACACACTGAGAGGCCCTATCAGGCAGGAAAGATGCCATGCAGTGCAGCCACACAGAAGCTCAGCTCTACCCTGTCTTAACTCAGTCTTCTCTAGATACAACACACCCACAAGCACTCATTTCTCCAAAATTTCCACAGCAAGTTCACTCAGCTTGTGACCAGCTGCAGCACCTCCTTAATCTCTTCCTATACTCTCAATACTGACTTTGGTTCCTCCATTACTAAGGGAACACTCTGGCAGCTCACCAAGACCTGCACAGAGCATCCTGCCAGCAGGGCATACCATTGATAGCAGCTCAGCACCTATCCTGAAGGGAGCTTAAGGGTTTACCCTGATTAAAGGAAGGAAGCAACAAACAATTGCCAAAGATGGAAAGAGCAGTTGCAGCCAGTTGGGGAGCAGAGGCTCTGTATGGAAAGACTCCTGCCTAAGGCTCCAAAACTGCTGGTACAACAGCCCACACAGCTTGCTGCTGCAGCAGCCCAGAGACTTTCGAGATTTGGTGAGGGAAACACTTTCCTTTTTCGGAAGCAAAGCATACTTTGCACTCTCAAGCAGACAGTAGTCCCTGCTCAGCTACAAGAGCATGGGACAGAGGCAGCTGCAGCGTGCAGTACCGTAAAGACACTCCAAGTCATCCTGCCCTGAGATCAGCCAGCTCCTGAAGAGGCGCAGGTGGTAGGAGCACTGCTGCAGGTGATGGGCTAGGGTGGCATCCAAGGAGATGGTCCGGCTCGTGGCACAGTCAGAGGAAAAACGGCGTAGCAACTGGGCAACGTGCTGGTGCTCCAACACATCTGGAGGAAAGGGGCCACAGAGAGTGAGAGGAGAGGGGCAGGTATAGCTGGGGACAGAGAAACTGCGGAGATGTGGCGATGGAGCTGCCCAGCACCAGGACCGCTGGGTGAGAAGGACCCACACCACACATTAAGCCAAATCCCTCCCACAGCGAGCAGGTCAGGAAAGCCCTTAAGAGTTATGTCCCCCCAGTGACATTAGGGCAGACCAGACTCCCACCCAGCCCAGGCGTCACCCAGCTGCAGCACAGGGCACTTCCTGAGCAGCAAGGGCTGATCTTTGAAAGGAAAAGTCTGACAAGTGAATAATTTTCAGGACACAGTCCAAGTCAAATGCAGTTCAAGTTTGGCTAGATAAAAAGATCAGGTTCAGGGCCAGACTCGCCCTCCTGCAGCTCAGATGAGAAATCCAACAGTGCCAAGACTGCCAGCAGTGTTTGAGTTCTGCATCCAAGCGCAGCCAGGGACATCGGCACAGGAAAAGAGCAAATGTCCCAGCATCAAATGAGCAGAGGCTGTGCAAGGGACTTCGGGGACAGCAGCGTCTGACTGAGAGCCAAGTGCTGAGAGTGCGGAAGAACAGAGAGAGCCCAGAAGCACTGACTTTCCCAGGCCTATGCAATCTTCTGTGATATCCTTGCATGGCAGACAAGATACCAGCATGCAGGCATGTCTTCTCACTACACACAGCCTCAGGACTCACGTCACCCACCCAAGACTTGTGTGATCAGGGCATAAACCATGTGGCCTGATGCTGTGTTTGACCACTACCCTGATTCACCCATTCCATTTCAGCACACAGAGGCAGCTCTCCAGAAACAAAATCCAGACTCAGAGCTGGGAACACTTTTTGCATTCAGTTTTTTAAGTGGTTCATGGGGTAAACATCCCTCCTGCTCAAAGCAGTGCCAGTCCTAGACCAAATATCCCTGACTTTGAGCTCTCACCTGCTGGACCCCTGTTTTTGTTTTCTTAATTAAGTGCTTTGCCATCAGAAATACTAACCGGGCTTTTGGGAGAAACATGATGCCTGGTTTCACCCTATCGTATTTGGAGCAGGGGCAACTGCTTTGTACCAAGTCTTACAAAGGCTGGAACTTGGTATAACCTTTGCGGGAAAGATAGAACAATACACCCTGCTGACATACACCACGTGAGCTCTAATGCTGTCTGGACACACAGACAAACCAAGCAGTTGGCAACTCTGGGAAAACCAAAACCAAGCAAACACAGAGAATAGGCTCCCTCTAGTTATTTGAAACAGTAGTGACCTGTCCTTTCCCATTTCATCCTTCCCGAAACTTTTGTTTTCGGAACGGTCTTCTGAAGTTCATTCATCTTCCAGATTACACCAAGCAGGATGTCTTCATATTCACAAGCTGCCTTGATCACATCAGGCAGATATAGTCGGTAGTGTTCAGTGATCTCCTTTGGTTCCAACTTGTCTCAGCAGCAGGAGCCATGCAAGAGGAGGGGTGCTGTGAAACCTTTTTAAAAGTATCTGTGCAAGAGCTGGAGAATAAACACTGATTCAAGGCACCTGCTATAACAGAGCAGGTGGCCTATAACCTCACAGACTCACACTTTGGTTATCAGGCAAGTAGCAACATGGAGCAGAGACAGTGAATTAGCAGGAGCTCTGTGAGACATCTGTCACCAAGCCCTTCCAGAGATACAGGCAGGATGGGATGAAGCAGATGATGCTACCCCAGGTAGCACGATGCCCCATCCCTTCCCTCCAAGCCAGCACCATCCATCAACAGCAGACAAGTAAGAGCTCTGGAGAGACACAATTCACAGGGTAATGTCTGCAGAAAAGGTGAGCCTACCTGTGCCAACATCACCATGCTTGGAGGAACCACAGGACCAGCCTAACATAGAGGTTTCACAACAGGAGGCCATAAAGCTACCAGTACTCCTGACATGATACACCAGGTGCACTTCCTTCTTTCTCACCGTATACTAGGCGCTTCCAGGTGACACACGGCTGTCCCAGTGTTATTCTTGTTTTCTTTCTGCAAATCTGCAGTGTAGAAACTGAAGACCTAAGCTGCTTCATGATATGGAAGGGGCATCAGCCCCCAATCCAGTGGTATTCTCCCCCTGATCCCCATCCTCCCGACAAGGAGCACAACAAAAGGCCTTAATGTCACTGCAGAGTTAAAGGCTGCTTTAGCAGCACACTTACAGAGCCATGGCTTCTGCCTCTTCACCTGGGACAAAAACACCTCAGGGCAGAGCAGAGGCAGCACTGAGCAGTAACAGGGTATGACTGAGCACATTAGTCACAAGGAGACAATGGAGGAAGGTGAAGCATGTTTGGACACCAGATACACAAACACAAAAAAAACCACAAGAAGACTGAGAGAACATGTGCAGAGAAAACTGAATGTGAGCATGGGGTTAGAAGTGTGAGGGAACATCAAATCCAGAAAGCAAACATACCATTAGTCGGATGCTTTGCAAACGACACAGAAAATCGTTTTACGGCTGGCATAGACAAGAGCTCTGAGGAAATAAAAACAGATCATCTCAGTTAACAGCCTGCTTCAAACGATTCCCTGACCTTCATACACTTGATTACACCTTCAGGTTCACCTTTCTGACCCCCACAACAGCTGCTCCACTGGCACTGCTGTGGCACCTGACACTCTGCCTGTGGGTCTGACTGAACCATTCTAAATCTCCCCAGCCCTTGCAGCACCCTGCCAGGGTCTCCCCAACACTGCACACTCAGCCACAACCTCAATCACCGTCAGTCAGCAACTCACACCTTCCCACCACACCAGGCTCAGTCCAGAATGGCAGAATGCAGAATGCAGCCAGGCCATGCTCACAGCCACCACAGCACGTCCCAGCAAGTAGCAGCACCACATGAGGACTGTTCTCAGGATTCGCTTCTGCCCAAGGAAAACAAACACTGTTCTGCAAAGGGGCTAACGAGTTCCAGCAAAGGTACAGGTTAAAACAACCTCTTAATGCAAACTATACAGAGCTATTTATGAATTTAAAGGTAAATCACCTGAGTAGGGAAGAAGGAAAAGACCCATGAAGACAAGCCCCTACAGTTCTCTGCTCAAAACATTTCAATACAGGGGAAGCTTTGGGATACACCTATCAGAGTGGTCCTTGGGCTTCTCCTGGCCATGCCCCAGGCCAGGCCCATACAAATCACGTATCAGAAAGGCTGTGCAAGGACAGATACTGTGCATCTAATGGAGTGCAAACAGATAGGCTTTAAAGGACATGGATTAGGCTCCACATACACACACACACACACACACATACACACACAAAAAAAAAAAAAAAAAAAGCTGGAAACTTTGCTTTTTTCCCCACACTAGAAATTCCTCAGCTATCATGAAAAAAAAAATATCCTGGAGGATCAGATCATCTATATGTAGGATTTGGTATAAGACCCCAGCCAATCATACCTTCTGCTGCTATTTGGGATCTTTCAAAAAATAGTAGAAAACCCTTTTATTTCTCTTTTCCTGTTTCATGCATCCATTCTCCCTAGCCCACAGGGTGTGTATGCCTATCCCCCGATGGATGAACCAGTGCATGCTCCATACTCCAAATGTGCTCCTACAGCTACATGGAGTGGCTTGGCCAAAGAATATATCTAAACCAACTCTCATTGGAACTTCCTCCTCTAGTGTACCAGCCCTAAAAATTGTTTTTCTTTCTTTAAACTCAACAAACAGCATGACAATCTTCCCTACACATGCAATCCCTTGGAAGTGTTTAAGCCCTCGAGCTGCAGCTGGTGACCATCTCCAGCCAACCCACACCTCCCCTTGCCCTGAGGGCACATCAGCTGAAATGGCACTGACCCAATTTACTGTATCCCTGGCTTCAGGCAAGCCAATTTGAAATCACAACCATCCATGGACCTCCCCTCAGCTTGACATTCCGAAAACTTTCTGGTGAAGTGTTCTTTAGCCCTCCTCCAGCTCCAAGCGAAAAAAGACTTCAGAAATAAGGGCCCTTGAAACTTCCCTGGAACAAGGCAGGTTAACACTGGTGAAGTGCTATATGCCACACACTGCACCATGAAGCATCACAGCCGTGAAAAACTACCCAAGAGTTCATGCAAAAATGTGCTGTTTTTCAATGTCATTAGTCTAAAGAGTGTGGAACAGGTCGTAAAACAAATGTTCTCCAAGAGTCTGCTGTAGCTGCAGTGCCACTGATTGCAACCATGTGTAGTGATCTTTAGATTAAATTCCATTGTTCAGCATTGCATTAGTGCTCATTTAAGCAGAAACATGACAATCAAGGGCTCATTTCACATTCTAAACTACTTTCCCCAGCTGGTAAATGTCCTGCTTCCTCCTTGTTTTCCCAAGCCCCCAACACCATCCCTCCAAATGCTCTTATTGCAGCAAGGCACTGACAACACAGGGTCTCAGGGCATGCCAAGGAACATGAAAACAGAAGTATGACATCAAGATTTATAGTTCTGAGCTGTGTTAGACACATACTAATCAACTAAGTCTGCATTTTAGGTATTTGAGGGTACAACTGCATCTCGGCACACAGAGACCTTGTCACTGAATTTAGGCTTAGCAGGAGTCCATGGCCTCAAATGCCTGTAGCCTGCTGCAGGCATACTCTGCTAAACAGCCTACAGAGGGAGGCAGCCCAGCGCCAGGACTAAAGAGTTCCAGCAGGTCTGTTCCATGTCTAGCTGTGCACAGAGTAGTCTCTGATGTTTTTCCCTGAGAATCAGTGCTGCCTTGGGCTCCCACTCCTTGCAGAGTCAGGAAAGAACAGCCGCCAGGGCCTTTGCAGGCCTTTTCAGAGGCTCCACTGTGACTCACACCCTGGTCTTGTACCAAACACCATCAGCTTATTCTGCAACCTGTGAGCAGCCAGTACTTGCCACCTGGGGCAGCTGACTGCTATACCGGAGTTGAGAACGCTCCCATCTCGCTCTCCCTGACACCATCATTCACAGCCCACCACGTGGCTGGGAGTGCCCAGAGGAGGTGAGAACCAGCTTGGTTCTCTCTTACACAAGAAAAGCAGCAAAGGCAGCTAGTGTACATAGCGGCACCTACAGAGTTCCAACAGGGCTGAGAATTGTTTTCATCCTGATTTGCTAGGCCATTTTCCTTGCCTCAAAACTGGACAAAAATCCAGATGAACCAACCACCTGTCTTTCCCAAACTACTCCCTTAATCCTCTTCCCTTGAAATCCAGCAATGTTAATGTTCCTCACAATCCCAATAAGAAAGGAACTCAGATTCTTCATTGATTAAAATACCAAAAAGATAAGACATCCAAGACAGACAACCTTACATCCATCCATTCAATGCTGGGAAACCTTAGGTGGATTTCCAACCTTGTCAGAGTATGCTGTGCAGACCCTGCCCATGGAGCTTCTCAAATCAGTGCTTTAACAAATGGTATGTGAATCAGTACTGAAGAGTTTGTGTGAGTGTCCTATCAGGACTACAGTGGACACTTGCACTTGTGCATTACACCCTCCAGATGTCCCAGGACAGCTCAGTCTGTCCCTGTGCTCCAACTTCCTTGCACAAAACAACCCTCTGCTGCTCCCTGCGTATTGCACCAAGTGTTGCTGGCAGGTCAGGGTGCAGTTGCAGCCATAGGCATAGAGCGTTTGTAACCTTGGCCACAATGCCTTCACCAGATTGTCTTGCTGACCTTCCTGGCAGTTTTTGCACAGCGGTACAGAAACCAGACCTTTCAGTCCTTTTGCAGTACTTCATTCAAGCAACTCACTTACCTCAAGCCTTTCAGGCTTATTGCCCTTGCCTCCTGAGAGCTACCTCAGACTCTGCCACGTTCTCAGCCTTGCTCTAGTGCCCATCTTATCCATGCCCAAGCATATCATTCTGTCTTCGGGATGACTGCACCTTCCATGGGGCAAGAATTACTGCCCCAAAAAGAGCTTTGTTGTAGCATCAGCAAAATGATCAAGGTAAGCAAGATGATGTGATCTGCTGGATTTCCCTACCATGACAAACCAATTTAATATCTGGACCAATACATTCCCCTTCACAACAGCAAACATCAGACCAAAATCAGATCCCAGCAATACCACACATCAACCTAAAACTCCTCTCACAATGTCAGCTTCCTTCTGTCCTAGCAAGGATCATGATTTCTTGGGATATAGTAAAATTTATCATTGCAGATGTGGTGAAAACACACATTCAACTGTCACTGTTTTCAGCAGTCCAGGTCTGTGCCGCAGGCATATCTCGAGACACCAGTGTCCACAAAGTACCACCCTGCTGCCAGGGAACACACATACCGTCTTTGTATGTCAGGCTGCTGGCAAACTTTTTGCCATGGCTGCGTGCGTAGTCCTGGAGGTTGGGGGCACTGGAGGAGCCTCCCAGCACAGTGGTGCTAAACAGCCCGGTGCACTGTGACCCTGGAAAGGCAGGGAAGGTGTTAGTAACACATACCCACTGCATGCAACTACAGAAAAGCAGGGTTAGTCAAAGGATGAAGAATGAACTGGCCACTTCACAAGCAATTTCAGGAAAAAAATATGATGCCTGGAAGCACAGGGAGGCCGTGTTCTCCATTCTAAACTCCACAGTGCCAAATGCAGACCAGGTAGCCCAAACCTCAGCACCAGGAAAAGTTCCTAACTCCATCCAGGGGTTTACTTCCATTTGGCTTTCTTGCCCTGACCTAGGAGAAACACCTTCACCCCTTTCAGTCAGCAAAGCTACACACTGATGCCAGAACAGTCAGGATGCCAAACCACTGATGTTCATGTCACAGAGGTTCATTGCTTTGCTCTTCTGCTCTTTCTCTTTGGAAAGCTCCTTTTTGTGTAAGACACTGAGAGGAAAGAACTGTCTGATTTGTGGGTCAGACAGTGTGGATTCATCTCCAGTCAGACAAGTAGAGAAAGTACTGTGACCAGAGGGCATGCTCTCACAAGCTCGTACTCCACAGTCGTGTTTCACTGCTCCAGCACAGGAGCAATTGGCCCATGAACGAGCCTTGCAAAGCGCTAGACGTGTACACAGCATGGAACTTTACCTACCCAGCATCAAGGAACAAGGCATGCAAGGTCGAGGGCAGCCTCATTCCTGAGGCTTTGGCTTTCCTTCTCCAAGGCACAGTGCTCTGAAGAATGACTTGACTTTGTGTGACATTTGGTGAACACCAGGCATTTGTAAGAGGATTCTTTCAACTGACTGAGGAAAGCAATTGCGAGTTGAGACAAAACTCTATTATGGGCGAGACACAGCCACTGTTTGGCTATAAATTCTCTGCAAACAGTCTTGCTGCTGGATTCTGTACTGACTGCTCAAACCAACATTACTCCTACATACAAAGGGCTTCCAGAAACAAGCAGATTGATCTGGTTCCACCTTGTCTGCCACAGTAAAAAGCCTGCAAGATGGAATAGTGCAACTGTTAACTGCTGTGAAAGAGAAACCTGCCTACACTGGAAGCAGCTCTTGATTCTAAAATACAGCATCATAGCATGACTTAGGTTGGAAGGAGACTGAAGCTTTTTTCCCAACACCCTAGGTGGACCAACTCAGATCAGCTTGCTAGGCTTTGTCCAATCAAGTTGTCAATACGTCCAAGAAAGTAAATTTCACAACCTCTCTGGGCCCCTGCTCTAACATCTGGCACATTCATGGTGGGTAAAAATTTTGTTCATCCTAACTAATTGGAACTTCTTGTGCTGCAACTTGTGTTCATTGGTTATTCACCAACCATCACAGGGCCTTGGTGATTGTCTCTGTCACTTCTGCAATCTCCCATTTAGGTGGTGAAAGAACATTAAGATCTCCAGTCCCCACAGGTCCCAGTCTGAACAAGCGTGGCTCTCAGTTTCTCCTCCAACACCATGTGCTCCAGGCTTCCCACCCATTTCCACTGCCCCCCAGTGGGCTCATAATCCTGACACACACACCCTCCACACCTCAGAGAGCCCAGGACAGGACAGCAGAGCTTCAGGCACTCACGAGAAATGAACAGATGGAAAGAGCCAAACCCCTCAGCTGGACAGCTGTACTCCAGCTGATGTAGCCTAGCATGCTGTCAGCCTTCCCTGGTGTGAGGACACATTGCTGCTTCACATCCACTCATTGCTCCTGGGGACCCCAGTTTCTGCAAAGATCCTTAAGCCAGAGCTTCTTTAGAGAAAACACAGAGATCCTGAGTCTTAAAATGTTCTTGTATAAGCTCAGGCTGAGCTGAGGACATCTGCTCCTGGGGTGACCAAAAGGGTCCTTGTAGCACTGAACTGCAGCTGCTTCCCCACTGTGACACTGCTGGTGGCTTTCCATAGCACAGACTAGCACATACATGCCCTTGGACATAAAGGAACTCTTGCCTGCAAGGTCACTGATACACAAACCTTAGAAAATTTCCTCCTAATGAGTTAAATTGATGCAAATTGCTGACTCAGCATGAACTGGAATCTGTTGGAATGAAAATGAAATTTTGTCACACATCAGACAGGATGATGCTCCTAATAACTCTTCCATGGTTTAAAAGCAAACCACAAAAAAAACCCACCCAACAGATTAATTTACTGGCAGATAAAAATAGAACATAAGCTTTTTAGTAGTGTGTATCTTGAGCAACCTTGTGCTGTTAATCATTAAACTAAGGATACCCCAGCATTTCTGCTCTCCTGCTGCAGACAGAGGCATTAAGCCAGAAGAGAATTTACAAAGATGACTTTATGGACAACATCAATTGTCTACAGTGAACTCCGGACAAACCACTGTACCCAAAATAACTACACACACACACACACACACACACACACACACACACACACACCCTAAACAACACAATGACCATTTGGATTTAAATGTAGCACCACTTGCTAGAAATTACTGTACATGCTAAATATTTACTGTACATTTAATTGTCATATGTTCATTCAGTATGTCAAATGTTTAAAAATAGTCATTCTTGGTTTCCCTCTGGGAATCCCAGCACAAGGCTTCATGCCACTGGCAGTGCACCACCTCTACTGCTCAAACAGCCAGCAGTGATTTTACTCCATTTTTAAGGATTCTTGTAAGCAAAGAAAGGTACTGAAACATCCCTAGGCTTTTCAAGCTAAAAGCACACTCACTATGGCAAACAATCCACAGCAATGCACATGATGCTGCCCAGAAAAACCTGTCACACTCCAAAGCACAGACAAAGCAATTGCAGTCATCTATTTTCAAATGAGGAATTACATTTTCTAAATTACAGTAGAGGCACCATTCTGGAAGATATGGCAGCAGGGCAGAGCTATTGCAGGAGCTCTCTCATGCTCCCTGTTCCTGCATGCCTACACATATGAGGTTATACCAGGAAAGATATTCCATTTTCCAGAGATAATGACAGCCAGGTGCTGACTGGAAGGTCAGGGAAGGTGACCAAGGTCAGGCAACAGGAGGTGTGCTCAGCTTCAGAAAATTCAGAAACAACAGGTAATGCCTCAATGAACACCCCCCCACCACCACCAGCTGCTGAGACAAATATTAAAGCCAAAGTTCAAGCTTCTAGAGTTCTGTACAATCTCTTAGAGAGAGAATACATTTCAAATCTTAAAGGGGCAAGAAATTAGATTTCTAAAAAACAAGCAGGAAAGGAATCAGGAAAATTCCTTGAGGAGCTTGACTTGGACAGGTAAAGGGACATAGCTCTTCATAGCAGGCCTCAGGTGAAAAAAAAAACTCACAGAAACACAGATATCCTAATCACCAACTGTTGTGCAAGCTGGTGTGATACAACAGGTCTTTCCTGCTCAATCCTTCTGTACCTGCAAGACTCTACAGAGGAGAACCATGGGCTAGAGATCTATGTCACAGATCAGATCTATCAGTTTCTACTCAAGGTTTTGTCCCTGCAGAGCTTCACAGGTGGAAGAGCAACCAGCACAAGCTTCCCAGCAAGGCACATGAAGCAAGATTCTGAAATTAAACCTGCTAGGATCATATTTCAGATTTTGTTGTGAAGGAGAAGTAGTACTGTACAAAGGTGCAGAAAAACAGTCGTCTTCTCTACTGCCAAAACAGACATTCCTCAAAAACCTGGAAAAGGCTGCAGTCCAAGGGCTTAATATCTGCTTTCCAGAACACAAGCCTTCTGGTAGTCGTGCATTCAAACAGTAAAACCAGTTTGCAGTGCCATTTGATGTACTTAGTAATTCTCCAGGCAGATACACCTCCTTGATTATGTGCCATTTCAGAAATTCCCACATTCATCCATATGGACTCACAAAATAGCCACAGGTTTCTTCAAGCCTAAGCACAGCAGTTTGTCACAGCTCACTGAATCTTGCAGTGGCACTGGGAAAGGCAGAGAAAAGTGAAATAACACATTCAAAAATTACCATGGCCAAGGCTACTGTCCCTTTATGAAAATAATACACATCAGCCATTCCTATTTAGATTTTTCCAGCTGGCTGGACGCATAGCTGGTAAACTCCAGGGATACTTTCTAACCACTGAGAAGAAAATTCTCTTTCCTTGGTAAGAATTAGATTCCAAAGAACTGCTCATTCAAAAGTGGAAAAGAAATGAGCAGGCCTTTCAGAAGTCTCTTGGCTGCAGGTTGTCCATGTAACAGAGTGATGAGTCAGAACTGCTGCAAGTCTGCAGCCATGCTACAATGCTAAGATAGTTTTAAAGAAAAAGAAAGTGGGCATGACTTGGGCATTATCACCTCCTCTCTTCAAGACACAGGTTGCACAGCCATCTCTGAACCTCATGACAGCAAAGACAGCTTTTCCAGTTTCAAAATAGATCTTGCTTTAGCAGAAATATTTCAGGAAGAATTTCAACTGTTCAGACATAGTTTAGGTTAGAATGACATGGAATGAAACAATCAAGGACAGAGAATGCCAAATGCCCTGTCTCTTCTCTTCCACTGGCTACCACAAGAAGAATGGCTGACCAAGGACTTCAGCTCAATTAGAGAGCTATCAAACATTCTGTATGTGACACATTCGTTCCATACAACAAATCTTTATGAAGCAAAGGTAGAAATGGAATTGTCTCACACAAAGAATATCTTTACATATAAATCAATGTTTTCCAGAACAGAAAGCACACTACTTCTCACATAAAATCAACTCTACCTACTAAGTTGAGAAATGTATCAAATGAGAGCAACAGAGAAGCAGAGGCAAGCCTGCAGGTAGGCAGTTTGCCCTGCTGCTCCCATACTGAAAATGACGGAAAGTCCATCTTCTGCTGCTAGCAGCTGAAGGAAAAGTTTGTACACAAAAGGTACCAACTAAGACAGTCTCTACAGTGATCTCAACAGTAACATTGAGAGACGGCATGAAACACACAGAGGCATACAAGGAACTCAAGCCAGATGTGTATGTGGAGACACAGACTAATGCCCATGGAAATAGAGAGCTACAAGTGAGTAGGCTGGTTACAGGTCAGGTACAGTACCTAATCCACTTTGCTTCATCTCAGAAGACTGCCTGGAGTAAGTGCTGAAGAGGCGATAACCTCCTGATTTTGAAGAAGATTCAGACAGCACCTGCAAAGACACAGTGTAATTAATCAGAACCATGCTCCAAGTTACCCACTGCTATCAAAAGCCTTTAAACATCAATTGAAGGTAAAGAAACATATCTCTTCCTTAAAATCACCATTTTCAAGAACCAAAGGTAGTCAAATGCTAGGATTGTGACAGTGAATGCTCAATTTTTATTTCAAGATTTTGTTGGATTGTGGAACAGTGGAAATTTGTAAAGTATGATGGGATTCATGTAGTGAGAATCTTTTCTCCCAAGACTCTTGCTGAGATCCCTGGGACACAGACTTCCTTCTTTAGCAGCAGGAAATTATATCCACTTTAACTTAGTATGTGCCTATCACAAAGAACTTCTGAGTGCTGCACACAGAGGTGACATTGTGAAAAACATACAGTGATGGAAGACAGCAAACAAATACCTCAAACATTAACTCTGCTGTTTTCTGGTTCAGAAAACTGATGGCAAAAATGCCTGTGAAATCCCTCTGAAAGAAGGGACAATTCTAGAGTACTCTGAAGGTAACAGTCACCTGCTGACTGTGACACTGGCCTTGTGACACAGAACAGCCCAGAAGGAGAGAGGTTAAAGGAGTAAAATTACCTTTACTTCACCAGATCAGTGAATGGGACATTTCTAAGCCCTGATGACTCAAACATCCTGAATGAATCCACCAGTAAGCAGGGACCCCTGATCAGCATGAGATCTTATATGGGATGGAGGAAGGAGAAACATGGAGCTGCCTTTGTGAAAGGCAAAGACTGAAGCCTAACAGAAGGCAAGATGTCATCATAGCTAGGTGGCAAGGTTGCATGTAATCTCATACTGGCTACACCAGTGTCACTATTGAGCACATAATCCAAATAATGCTTGTGTTTCTCAAGCATTTCCGTACTTTCTTTACTTGCTCTTCCTCATGTGTTCCTGTCCTTCCTCAATGAGGAAGAGTTTCAGAGGTCACCCTTCCACAACATTCCTCTTTACCTTCTGCAGATCCTTTCCCAGAATCAACTCAGACTCTGATGTGTTAAAAGAAATGCCAGGAAAATAAAACCAAGCAAAAGTTCTTTGCAAGAACAAGGAAGGGCACCAACAGCACGGTTACCTCCATGGATCCTGTCTTGCGGCTCCTGACCAGAGGCGACCTTCGCTGGATGCTGACCGGCTCCGAGGGCTGCGGGGACTTCTGCCGAGCACGGTCTGGCTCATCGCTGCCCTTCTCATTGGAGAGGTCCTCTAGGCTGCCTTGGTCTGCCTTCTTGTCCTCGTTCTGCCGTAAGGAAACACTCCACTCATGTCTACAGGCACGTGGCCTTTGCCCATGCTGCCCCACACCAGCTCCAGGCTTGGATCTCCTGCTCTGCCAAGCTCAGGAGGCACTCACACTCCCAAATGGGACACAGACACAATGTGCCAGCTCCCTTCCAGCAAGGAAGCTTCTGCAGCAGGGCCATACAGAGCAGGACAGTGCCCAAGTGTCCCCCGGGGCTGGCAGCTCCTGCCCAGGTGTCTGCTTACCTCTGCTGAGGCTGGCCGAAAGCCAAACCCCGTGGGTATATTCCTGTCCTCCTCACAGCCTTTGACGCCAGGGCTGAAATGCAGCTCCACATGGAAACGCTCCTCTGAAGAGGGGTCCTGTGAACACATGTCAAATAGGTAAATACATAGGTAAAGAAACAAACCCAATTAATCCTACCATCAGTCCAGGCCAAGGTCCCATCCCGCTGTGCTGGCCAGCACACATCCAAGCCTGTCCTTTGGACAAAAAGCAAGGGCAACAAGCATGAACAGAATGGCTCCAGGTTTGTCGCATCCAAAAGGACAGCCCTGATCAGCACCCAGCTGAGGCATTCTGACTGTTGCTATTTTGGGACAACAGCCACAGAAGAGTGTAACAGAATCAGGCTCTATATATATATATATATATATATACACATATACATATATATATATATATATACCAACACACCCCTAAACCTCAGCTCCTTCTGACCAACTCCTGCTGCAAACCCAGCATATGCCAGGACAGGGAGAGGCTGGGTCCCCACTGGACCTTCAGTTAGGCTGTTCCAAGATTTAAGCAACTGTCTCTAATAATAATTTTTCATTAACACTTTTTTAAGGAAGCCAGAGCTTTTACAGTGTCTGGCACTAATGATATCTTGACTGACTGACACATCCACACCACTCGTGAAAGTTCTAGTCACATGTTTTTTGACAAGCATCACTTCTAACATTAGAAACTCTCACCAGCTCTGTGAATACAAGGCTCCAACTTTGTAATGTGTGGGGTAAGGGGCTGCTCCCCTCACCACTACAACCTCCTGCAGCATAGACTCAATTCATAAGGTCTGATAATCAGGACATGCAGTTTGGTGGCAAATCTACTTACAGCCAGCACCCTTAGCTTCTACATTCTAGCTGTTTATTAAATTATTCTCTTTGCTTCCTGAAGATACCAGTTTACACTTCCCTAGCTATATCAGCATGCTTTCATAATAGAAAATAGTTTATGGATGTGGAATTTCTGGATATTTTCTAGATATATTTCAAAAATACAAATCAAATATCACTCAATTTTATTTAATTTTTCCTACTGCTCACTTGCAATTAATACTTAAAAACAGCAAATAACTTTGCACAAGGAAATCCTTCAAAATAGTCAGTATTAATTACTTAAGTTGGCCATTACTGCTTATTCTGCTTACATGTAACAAGAAATTAACTGGGTCACTGCTCCCACATAAACTAAAAACTAGCAGTTGTGTTAATGATCCATCTGTCTTTGACCACAAGCAGCAAGAGCTCAAGTTACAGACTTCCAACTGAACTCATCTCTGAGGACTGGGTCTTGCAACAGGACAGGAAGCATTGTATCCTACTGCTCTATCCCTCACCTTGTTGTTGTCCTCGTAGAGCATGATAACAATCTGGGTCATGTAGTTCAGCTCTGAGATAGCACTTAAATAGTCCATGGCTCTCTTCCACTGCTGGTCTTTGTTTTCCTGATATATACACACAAACAGTTGCACAGGGTAAGCAACAGCAGACACCTTGCAGCATTCAGTGAAATGGGACCGAGTGAGTTTCTCTCTCCACAAGGTAACACTGTCAGGACAAATTGCTTAACTTGCAGGAAGAAATGACCTTGCAATGTGGTGGGGTGTTTGCAGTGAGGAGCATCTGCACAGAGGGATGCTACAGCTGCCCAAGCCACCCATGTGCAGATATGAGTTGCAAGCTGCTGTGCCATGCTGACTGGAGACAAGCAGAGCACACAGAAGGTTCCCAAACACAGCCATTCTCAAACTACAGAAACAAGCACAAGGGATGAACCTGTGCTAAGTAAGGGACCAAGTGAAATGCTGTTACCTGACACTGAATGAAAAATGTGCAGACACGCTGAACCCCTGGGCTCTGCACAGCAGGGCAGCCCACCCTTCACTGCCTCCCAGCACTGCCAGGGAATGGTCACACCTGAAGTGCCACCCATGATGCTGTGGAGCCAATCACCACTTTGATGGACATGAACTGAACCCTCCATTACAAAGAACCCAGATGCAGCCAAATATCCCTGTTTTGGCAACACAGCATCCTTGGGCATTTGAGTCACGGAATAAGGGAGCATCTTGTTCAGTGAGTGATTTAGAGGTACTTTTCTGATCACTGTCTACAGATATACTGAACTGCCACAGAAATCATGCCTGTTAAGCAAACCCAAACACTCAAGGCATTTCAGACCACGCTTAAAAATGGGAAGGTAAATCAGAGATCCTCTTTAAAGCAGAGCTTTCCTCAGGGTCTGCATACCAATTAATTCAGGAAGCAGGTGAAGAGAGAGCAAGCAAAGGGTGAGCTGGACAATTCTTACTCCCTAAAAATGTGTCATCTGCCTCTCTGGTAGAGAACACATCCTGTGAAATTGCAACCTCAAGTCATTTCCTCTGTAAGAAAACCAATTTTATTGATTTAGAATTGATATAAAGACTATAAATACAGGACCAAGCTCTTAAAATAAGGGGTTGAAGGAAGCAGAAAGAAAGAAAAAAGTAAATAAGCAGGAAGTACTCATCCCCACTGCCTCATGCTGCTCTTCTCCTAGACAAGTAAGTGGTCTGCTCACCTGAAACCAGCAGAACAGATCTTGGAGAAAACATGTCTCTGTGCAAGCAAGGGAGGCACTAAGAAACAATCCTCCTACATGCCACAAAGGCAGGAAGCTGCAGCATGCAAACACAGCAGAGATGGAACTGGCCAGATGCCACTGATGCACAGCGTTTGTGGCAGAGCTGGCTTAAGGGGTAACCTACAAACATACACTGTCCATCCTGGAAAAGGCTACAGGAAAAAAGTAGGGAGGCTTACTCTGTGAGCATTGCTGGGACACTTACATCCAGTAGCCCCCCATAGCGGAAGATACTGAGCAGGGAGTGCACATGGCTCTCACTGGTGAAGTACAGCCGTGTTCGAACATGGCGACCTGGTGACAGAACTCCTCTTGAGTACCTAAACCAAAATCAGCCCACAGTTACTCATCTGCCAATGAACTGCCATCTATCACACATTAGCATTTCTGTACACTTAATGGAATGACATGACCCCACACTGAGAAACGTCAAAGGCAGCAGGACAGAACAAACAACGAGAGCAGCGGGCACAGGAGCAACAGATTTTGTGGAATTCTAATGGAGACATATAGTAGGTGGCTCATCACTCTATACTGGTCCCCTGTGCAGGGAAATGCCTGGATGAGGCATCACCATCCAGCTACAATGGGTACAAGACTTTGTGGCCCTGTGCTTCTGGTCAGCAGTCTCAATGTGCTTTCTCCATCTGCCTTCTAGCTCTGGGAGCACCAACATGCCTTCCTCCTGGAGGGTCTTTCAGTGTATGCTCAGTACCTCCTTCCGCAACAGTACACTCTTTTGCAATGGGAACCATCCCCTGCTCCGTAGCTGCCCTCTCCACTGCCAGCAGCATGCAGCACAAGCCTTACAATGGATGTAGTTTGTTGACAGACTCATCTTCATGAGTTCTCTGTAGGTCCAGCTGGATCTTTTTAATGAGAGGAAGACAAAAGCCAATAGCAATCTCCAGTTTCTCCTCCTTATTAATCCCATATTCCTGCAGGAACAAAACAACAGATACCCTGAGCCCTGGTTCTTTGACACATCCTCACATAAAAGGCCACTTCAGCAACCCACTCTGCAACATCACTGGTTAAGCAAGGACAGGAAGAGAAATGTCACTCAACACTTTTCACTTTTTTTTTTCCCACGTATTGCAGGGGGTAACAGAGGACTGAGACATTTCCAAGAACCCAAATTATGTCTGGACATGACTACCAGTATCATTCAACAACTGAGAGCTGGAAGGACCATGAACAAATCTCAGATCTCATGACATGCAAACTTACACCCTGAGCTAGCATGAGCATTAAAACAACAGCTGCTATTGACAAAGATAAAAACTGCAGTGCTATGCTGAAAACAGCCAGACTGCACATCACGAGCAACACTGAAAAAGTTTAGACGTCTCACTTCTGCTCTACAGGGGCAGCTGGACCTTGCTGGTAGAAACTCATCCCATATAAATTAAACTTTGCTAGAAGCATCTCAACTTTAGAAACTGAACAAGTCCTAGTTTGACAATAATAACAAACTTGTCAGAACTTTAACACAGAAGTCTCCCTTCACTTCCACAACCCTACGTGTCGAGAGGATGGAATGTTGCTGTAGCACACACACACACACAGCTGTGCTGTGATGTACTACAACGAACACGGAGAAGCTACTGCATCAGCTGCTCATTACTCTGACCCTTCCAGAATCCTCAACCAGAAGCCCAGCCCTACCACATTTAAAATCATAAATGGTTTTGGCCTTATACAAACACTGAGACAGATCTGAGAAACACCCTACTGTGATAGGCTGCCTTAGCAGTTAATGTGCAAGAGAATCGAGACAAAACACAAAGGCAAAGGGTCAGAAATTGGCACCACAGGCATCATCATACAGGCCATACCTGGGGTATGATCACATCTGCCAGGGCTTTGGAGAGCTTGAAGAGTTCAGTTGTGCCTTCCAGTTTCAGTGTACAGTTGTGCTGCACATCATACTTGATGCAGTCATATATATCAGGGATCTTGCTGATGTCATAGCGCCCATTCTTCATGCGGAAATCTCGCTCCAGCTTACTCCAGCGTTGCAACATCAGCTCCAAAGTCTCACTGTGGTACAGCTGCAGGTCTAAAGAGCAGAGAACACCAAACAACATTCCCATCCTAGAACCATAGAATCACAGAACCGTGGTTATTCCTGCAGAGATTTCAAATTACAGCTGTGATTGACTTCTCCCAGCATGAAAGGGCTCCAATTCTTGTGTCACCCACAGAAATCCTAGTCTGGAAAAGCCACTGGAACTGTTGCAGGAGTTTTAACCTGCAGCAACAGGCTACTTCTGAAATGCTTGAGAAAAGTGAAACCGTTTGCCTAGTTACTCAGGTCTGCCATAGATCCCTTCTGCACTATTGCTGGGAAAGTTGAGATGAGCAAATTGTGACTGAAAAACTTTCTGTTTCCAGTCTCCAGAAAAGGCCTGAAAAAACACAGGCATAGCCCTCCAGGCTATACTGCTGCTGTTTATATTTACTTGAAACCAAGATGCACATACCATTTTCTTTACATTACAGCTCTCAATTAACAGTAATTGAAAGTGGAGACTTCCACATCAATAGCACGACAGAATTACAATGTAATTTACTATTTCTTTGCTACAGACAAACATAAGCCCTAGTGGTGTTTGGGAGCTCTGAAGATGTACCAATAAAATAATCTCTTCCAGACCCTTTCCAGTTCTGTTGCTCACCTGCAGATTTTGGGTCTTCCAGACGTTTTCGTATCTGGGAGGTGAGATTCTCAATCAGGGTGAACACCTGGTTACAGACCTCAACTGGGTTCTGGATAAATGCCATGGAGTTGAGCAGAGAAGCACTGCCTGTAGGTGCTAGCTGAAAGAAGATTCCAGAAGACATTAGTTAGTCTTCACAGAATGGGAATGCAAAATGTCTGTCTTTTGCAGCCATACTGCCTTCTGACTTGGGTCAAAAGCTGGCCTTCCAGCTGAACACAATAGGCTGGCCTATTTCCAGGAGTAGTCAGGCATGTCTTAAAATCTTCCTCAGGATCAAACTCAGAGGGAGCAAACAACTGCTCCCATCAGACTGGACATCCCTCCACCTAAAATATCCACTCTTGTCTCATTTTGCTTCTGTGCTTGAGCAAAAGGGCTTCATTTTAAGTAGTTCTCTGAAATGTTAAGTATGTTCCTTAAAGGATTCCAGTCCAGTAATCACATTTCAGAGCCTGGGAAAAACAGTATTTTGGGGACCTGCTGGAGAAGCAGCAATAGTGCTTTCACTGGTTGCTGTGCTGGATGCAGTTCATGCTCTCTACTCTGCAGCTATCAGAACCTGACAGGACATACAACAATATGTAACCAAAAGGTCTGTTCATATGTGCATAGAGCACGGATCTAGAATCCAGTGAGGCACACTCCCTGCCCACAGTAGCTGGGATTGTTCTAAGCAGCATGCAGGAGCTCTTTTAGCATACTCACAAGAACAAAGTTAACTGGGAATTCTGAAGGAAGAGAAAGGCACCAAGATCTGTCTTAAGGGGACAGCAGAGCAACACTGAGGACTGTCACTCAAAGAAGGGCAAGGACTATTAACCTGCACACATCCATACATATCCTGTCATTTTGAACAGAACTGATCTCAAACTAACCAAACCACTGATCACATAACACACTCTTCACACAAACCACTGGAGCAATGCTATTCTCCTTTCAGATACAGCGAGCAATGAAGCTACACTGGTGCTTTACCTTTTCATAATCCTCTTCACAGAACTCAGCATCCTTCTGCATGATTTCATGCAGTCGCGCCTTTACTCTGTGCTGACAGCTGCTGAGGGAATCACTGTCACTGTCCAGCAGACCATTCATGTTGGCACTTTTCACCATCTGCACCAGGATGGGGGTCAGCTCTCCTTCCAGGGCCAGCAGACCCTAAAGCCACACCACACACGACAAGATTTCAAGTCTGTGCAACCCAAGCAACAAAAACTCTGGTAGTTTCATACCCAGAACTCAGGCAACTTAAGTGAAATCTCAACTGTCCTTGAAGGGCAGTTTTACAGCAACATCCCCTCCAGTCAGAGATTACTCTGGCATGGTTCTAGAGCTATTCAAGCAAAGGACAGCTCTGCCTGCAGCAGCCCCAGATTTGTCCAGGTGACTGTTGAGCAGGCTCAACTATCAAGAGGCTCAGTTTGCTTGAAAATGTTGATACAGTGCTGCTCCAAAGAGCAGCTAAGGCCACCACAGGATTCCCCTTGGCTTCAGCAGCAAATGAACCTGTCTTCTCCTCAGTCTCCATCCCATACTGCACCAAAGACATTTCACTCCCCTTTTAAATTCAGCAGGCAAGGAATAAGCCATCTGGCTAGACAGCCACCCCAGAAGCATTAATTCTATAGGCAATTGCTACTCAGCAGCAGATATGGTGTGCTCTAAGATCAAGCACCAGCAATAATCCATACATAACTCCTTCTTGACTGGGAGTCCTGTCTTGGACAGGACATTAGAGGTGACAGGTATGTGTAGATAACAACAGATGTTCAATACTGCCCCATACACCTGCTATTAGCACAGTGTACCCCAGTCCATCCAACAGAGAGGGGGGAGATCCTAAGAAAACTCCTTCCTCATCACCAGAGTTTTTCCTTTAGAACCAGCACATTTTAAGAGTAATGAAGAAGAACAAATGGATGGCCAAAAGAGAAAAAAGACCTTTGCAAAAGCTGCTGCTGTCATCTGAACTCTCCCCTCGTCCGAGGCATAGATCTTGAGATCATGGCGGTAAGTGCTGTGCAGTCTGAGCAAGCCACAGCCAGGGAAACCAGCATAATCACCTGGAACCAAGGACAACTCAAAATTCATATTCTCACACCTGCAAAATTATCACTTGAATACACTGATTTAGACAAACAAACTTTATTGTAGTAACAAAGTTATGCAGAGAATTAGTCACTTGCATAGGCAGCACTTATGCTGCTCCAAAACAGACAGTTCTAGCTATAAACAAGGACTAGAACTGTGACAAAATCTTTGCTTGAATTGGGAAGTTAATTTTGAGTAAAAAAATGAGCATTCAGCAGTCAAGTCTGATGCTGCCCAAATTCTGCTGCAAACTCTACTGAACACCCTGTAGTAGTTCTGCTAGCCTAAATACCCTGGTACAGAATGAAGATGCAAAAAAAAAAAAAAAAAAATCACTTCCTTCTGCTTGTTTTCTGCATGAGAGCAGGTCCTGCAGCCCTCAGAGCTGCAGGGAGGGCGGTTCAGCAGGGAAGTTTCCAAAGCAGATCCTGTACAGCTACAATTAGCTCATGGCACAAATTGCCAGTTTATTTCTCATGTCTGAGTCAACCTCAAGAGTCAGATCAGTAATGGAGGAAAGTAACTCATGAAGCTCTCGAGTCTTACCTCCAAAGACAGTGCAGTGGTTATGGTTTGCTGCTACCTGGAATCCCAGGGCAATTCTGCACAGTACCCAGTTACATTGCATGACAAGACAGGAACACTACTCCCAGCTCGGAGCTCACAACTCAGACAGGCTTACCACCCTGACAGACAGGCACCAGCCAGAAGTCAGATGTATGTCTTGGAAAAGCTGCCAGGCACCAAACGCTACCCAGGAACATAGCACTTCCCTGCAAAACAAGATCTCTCCCTCTGCATGAATGACCACATGGAGCAGAAGTCTACAAAGCCGTTGTTCAGAATTACTCTCATCTAAGCACAGGGGTCACTTCCCTGTAGGAAGTTATCAGGTTAGTTAAGCATTACTGTCCTTTGTGAATCCATGCTGACTACTCACAGTCACCTGCACCTATTCATGTACTCAGGAATGACCTCCAGGATTAGCTGCTCCATTACCAGCTCAGAGACTATACAGAGGCTGACCTGGCTGCAGTTCCCTGGGCCTTCCTTCTTGTCAGTTTTGAAGCTAGGAGTGACACTTCCTCTCCTCCAGTCCTCAGGCACCTCCCTCAATCCCCAGAACCTTTCAAAGAGAATCTTTGCAGGGACACCTACCTGCTCCCTTGGCATTGTGGGTGCAGCCTGTCAGGGCCCTTGGGTTCATGTATGTTCAGCTTGCTTAAGTGTCCCCTGACCCGATTCTCTACCACCAAAGGTAACTCTTTCTTATTCTAGAAAGAAATCTTCTCCAATCCAATTTAAATATGCTTAATTAATTTGAAATATAATTAATTAAACTGAATTAATTAAAAGACAAGCATATCCATTACTGGGCTCACTGGATCAATCCAGTATATTATTCCTGATTCAAAGGCAATCTCAGCATTTGGTATTTTTCCCTATCAGCTCTTGCTGATTTATGTGCATATTAGCATCACAGAATTATGGTGCAGAAAATATGGAGAAGTTACCTCTCTATTCTCCTGTCTCAGGGCAGAATTCTCTGTGTTCCAAGACAGATCTCCTCTGCTCTCTACATTTGACCTAAATTCCTTGTTAACCATTCACAAATTTAGTATTTGCTGCATCAGAATGTACCCTATTAGAACCACCTGTTTTTCTTGAATCCTGGCACATTATGTAAAGAAAACTGCTGCATTCCAAGACATACTGAAGTTCAACAGCAGACCTCTCGGGTCAGCTTAGGGATCTTTGAGTGCAAAACCCACCTGAATTTTTATCCCTACCATGCCAACTCAAAAGAACAAAAACTAATCCCAGAGGCTGTATACAGCCACAGATGCCTGAGCAGCTCTCACCTGGGCTGGGCAGCCTGGCAGCCACGGGGCAGGACCAGAGGTACCTGATCAAACTCACCTTGGCCTCCAGGATACATGCAGCGAAAGGCCCGCCCCAGCTCCTCAGCCTGGACTCTTCCTGCTGGGGTCAGCTCTCCACCCCACTTAAGCACCAGGAGAAGGGAGGGGGAGGACTCTCGTCGAGCTTCTAGGAGACAAACAGGTATTCACTACATCAGAGCTCATATCTGAGCTTGCAGAGGGAGACGATGGGAGGAAGTCATCAGCACCTTGCAGAGTGTTCTCAACACAAGCCTGACCCAAACTCCCCATGAAACAAATCTGCAAGTAGGAAATTCAGAGTCACTAGTTTTTGAAGGTATAGGCTGACATTCACAAAACAGAAGTGCAAGCCCTGTAGAGACAGCCAGGGTGTACTGGCATCCCTCCAATCCTTGCTACAATGTGAGCAAAGATAAGATATGGGTCACCAATTCTGCTTGCATGTCCGGAGGCCTATACAGGTAGGATAGCTGCACTCACACCTGAACTCTGGGCTTAAATATCATGTTTCTTTACCTTCATCTTCGCTCGCAGCTTTTGGATGTCCATGAGGCAGATAGGTCAACTGAACCTTACGGTTAATGCCAGAAAAATGTCCATACCTGTCACAAGGGATGGAGGAAAAAAAAACTGAAACAAATCAACTCCACCCAACCTTTGCTCCGAGGCCCCCAGGCAGTACATAGCAGAAGTACAGCAGAAGCAACAGACTTTCTGCTACAACACCCATAGCCATGGAACATGACTTTTAACATCTCCCTGTGACCCAGCACAGTCCCCCACAAAAAGCCAAACAGCTCCCTCAAACAAAATTCAAAGATCCATTCCCTTGCTCTTCTACCAAGAGCACTCTATGCTGTCATTCCTCACTAGGGCTTTAAACTCTATCTACATCTTTAACAAGTGGATTAATGAGATCACAGAAAAAACCACTCTGACAGATGCTTTGAGGATAACCATGTTTCTGATGAGCAGAAAGAGCAGAGAAGGGAATCACAGCAAAAAGTCCTCCTCTGTGCTTCAGAGACATGGCCTGAACACAGATGCTGGCTGTGTGTGCCATAGCTAGCTGTAGTTCTGAGAGGAACCCTGTTTGTTTAGAAGCTGTCAATGCCACCATATTTTTGACTGTACAAAACCTCATAGGACACAAACTTCTTTTCATGTTTTCCGTGCTCCTTTTTGTTAAACTTTTAGCACTAGGACAACTTTATTTAGAACAAGCTTTATTCCAATTATATCAAAATGCTTCATATCAACATGGTCCCTCCAGGACCCCAGTTCCTCTCCTGCAGCAAAGAAAGCTCAGTTTTGTCTCAAGTTGTTTAGCCAAACACCAGACACACTTGGGACAAGGATCGTCAGGGTTTAGATGTCAAGGAGTAAAAGTGAGGAACATGATGCTTTTCATGTACAGTTACTAACAGAGGACAGAGGAGACCCCAATCTCTGGGCACCACCTGGCCAGGACACCAGCAGCACAGCTTCTTCCATATCATATGCTCTGAGGCAAACCCACAGTGCACCTAGATAGGGATGCTTACATCTCCAAGACACTCTTCAGCTGTTCCAGTTTGGATTTCCTCTCCTCAATTTCACAATCACTGTGGGTTCCCAGCTCCACCACAAGCTGCCGTGCAATGTCCAGCACTTCCTGTTGGAAAGCAGAGACCAATTCTGCCTCAGACTCACCAGTGTACTCCTGCAAGGCCTCCTAACAGCTTCACCCAGAATGAAGTCCATGCAGACACTCCTCAGAGGCATGTCATTTCTTAAGACACAGCTCAGTCAGGACAAACTTTCACACTGCAGTTTGCTACATCCCCATGCTGTACTACAGCCCAGTTGAGAACCAAGCAGGTACCTCCAGTTGCCCCACTCCCTAGCATGAACCCATCTGTCACCAGAGGCAACCACAGCTGGTGGGCAAACCATATCAGGTCATCTCCATCCAACAGTGTGCGCATCAGGCAGCAGAAGTTTCCGTTCTGCTCTCCTGCTGCCACCCAGTTGAGTGGGCACAGCGTGCAGAATGAGACAGAGAGCATCTGTGTGACAGACTGTTGCCCTTTTGGAGGTTTGCACCTTCCCAAAGAACTGCCTCGCACCAGGATCTGTATTACCTGCATATTCCACACAGTAAACCCAGAATGTACTTCCTTACCTGTAGCTGCTCTGGTTTCTTCAGCTTCAACTTTCCTGTCTTGTAACCATCATATTTCTCAAATAATTCAAAGAACCTGAACAGACAAAAAACAATGCTGATCCATTTTCTGCTGTTTCAATAATACAAGGAGGGTCATTCTTACATGTGCATTCAGTCTCTATTCTTCAGGGAGAACAAACAGGCTGCTGGCTCTTTCCTGTGCTTCAAAAATTCTGAAAACACAAGTGTTTTTCAAAATACAACCAGTAAGCAGATACTAGCTTTCCATTTAGTGGGGCACTTCCCTTTTCAACACCTACCACACCTTCACTTTCCCCTCCAGTGTTCACATAGAAGGTGTCAGGATCCTTGTGGGGAAAGGAGGCGCTCTCAACTGGTCAGAAAGCATTTGCTTGGATGGGCCAGGAAAAATACTGCCTCCTATGCACTCAGCCCTCTGCTCCCGCTTCTGGTTTAGAGAATAGGCCCTCATCCTCTCCCAGGAACACAGCACCTTCTTCCATTGACTCTTACCGGGGATGTTTCACTTCCATCTTCATCTTCTGCTTTGGGGTGCGATCTCCGTGACGGATGACTGCAATAACACAGCGAAGCTCCATCCTGGGGAAACACAAGACAAAGATGACAAATGCACCCTTACACTCCAGACTGCCACCAGGAAGTAGCTTCCCCTTGTTTTTTCAGTTCCATTCTTCTGACACCTGCTTTCCTCAGCAGGGGTAGAATTTCTCCCAGACTAAACCCAGACACAAGTGCCACAGCTGCAGAGGGAGTCAGAGCTCTGCAGACACTACTAAGCTGAGTAGTTTCATACCAGTGTACAAGTGTGCTGAGGATCACAAAGAAACTTTTGCCTTTGATCTTCTAGCCTAATGTGCTAGAAAACTAGAAAGGCCAAAGGTATCAAATGAGGGGCTGCCAAGCATATGGGTAATTATGAATCTTTCAGCTAAGTGTTTCTACCTATTTCACTGGTAGCTCGACATGCACTTTCTCCATGTAGCAGCCAGCTACAGGACAGTATCTGTCCTGATCTGTTTCCTGTCCTGATGAAGAATTTGGACCTCTGAAAGCCATGTAAGCAGTTTCTGTAATTTCTTCAGTTACTGCTCATCTGCATTCATCAAACCTACAACTAATCTCCAACCTGTCACAACTTCCATGTGCATACCTAAGCCTTTCCATAGGCATTTCAGGGCTGCAAGCAGCATTTGGAGGATGCCATGCTGCTAGTGGTGTCAGGCCCTTGGACAGGGTTTTTCACACTTTGTCCCTCATGCAGTCATCACTGGAATCCTTTTGAGAGGATGGCATGTACTCACATGGTGCCTGAAGTTGTGGGGACAATGGGGATGTCTTCTGCCTCTGTTGGGATGGACCAGGGAATATGAAACTGGGGAGCCAACTCCCTCATGATTATATTTCTGAAAGAAATCAAAATACAACACTCACAAGAAAATCCATTCCCTTGGTTCTCCACCTCCTCCTTAGCAGTCCTGCTGAAAGATGTGAAGAGAGTTACAGAATTTCCCCTCACTTTCATTGCAGAGACACCTATCACTCTGTGGGCTAGATAGGGCACCCCAAAGGAGTACCAGTTTCCCTCATATCACCAATACCACAAGTGGGCTTAGCAGGCAATGAAAAGTCCTGGAAAATACATCTAGCTGTAGACAAAGACAGCTAATGTCAATGCAGGCAGGAGCTCCAGGGCTTGAAAATAACCCATTCCTCCAAGAGCCAAGCTTTCACCTGCTGAGCAAATGGCTCACAAGAACCACTTGCAGACTTCTCTGACATACTGACCAAGACTCCACATTTCATTTTACTTTGCTGTGAGTTACCTTAACCTATCAAAACTCAGATTGTTCATACCCAAGGATTTTGGCACAGTCATCATAATACTTCATGGAGTTCTTCACAAAGCTGAAGCCGTTCACATCACAAACAAAGGAGTGGCCGTTGGCCCGCAGGAGGTCAAACCCACATACGGTTTGCTGCAGGAGGAAGGAGAGGATATGGGACTTAGGCACACAGGAAGGAAGCAGTGGGGGACAGCAGTGACCCTGCCAGCAGGGAATACACAGAGCCAGCCAACACTGCCCTGCTGATCTACAGCCATCCCCCACTGTATGCCCACCTCACAAGTCTAGAACAAGTGTGAAGACACGCCATTAGTCAGACCTTTACTCCTTACTGCTGAACCAAAGGCCCTAACTACCAGCCCCCAGATGAAGCCACCAGAGCCAACCCCCAACCTCACAGAGGTCTAAAGACCTGAAACAGAGCAGCTCCTGGATATCCTGCTCTTCTTTTTAAATCCAGTGATTTTGAACCAGACTAACAAGCAAAGACAAGAAGTGCTGCAGACAAAGACGCCGTCACTAAATGGAAAAGGCTACAAAGTAGAAAAGAGACCAAATCTGCATCAGCCCAACTGCATGGGGTGCCAGTTGCAGTGGAGCAGGAACAGAGTCCAGTTCTTCTTCCACTGCCACTGTTGAACGTGTCATGGAACCATACCTAGACTCTTAATCACTCTATCCAACTGTAAAATAAAACATCAGTTTGCTCCAGAACCATATTAAAAAACCCAAGAAATAAAAAAAAACAAAGCCAGAGAAACAAAAAGCCTAAACAAACAAAAGAACAAAACACAAGTACCAAAATACAAAAAGAAAAAAAAAAACAAACAAGAAAATAAGACTAAAATTTCCACATAAACAAAAGCAGGAAATAGTCAAGACAGGATGAGCACAGGTCAGATAGAGAGCAGCATGCTCAGGATCCAGTATTAAATGCTCAGATGTGTGTGGGACACCAAACACCTACCAGCCCAGTGGGCAATTCCTGCAGGCCCTCTTGCCTTCCCAGTCACCTCTGCCCAGCAAAGTGCCACAGCCAGCAGGACCAACAACTGGCATTAGGCATGGAGGATTGCCATGCCTGAGACATGCCAGGATGACAAGTTTTAACACCAGCCCTGACACATACCAGACATTTGTGGAGTCCTGCTTGCACAGGAAAGAAAATACAGACCTTAAAGGCTACACAGACTTTACGGGCAACGAGTTTCTCCATGGCAGTCAGCATGACTGGGTAACGAATTTCCTTCCCTTCACTGTCTCGTTCCACTTTCCCATCCAAAGCAGGGGATTTGCGAGCCTCTGCATGGGCATAGTCCGGCCCAACAGTGTACACCTGGAATTAAGAGTGAGTACACCTGACAAAGCCACCAAGACTAACTGCAGCTTCCAGAAGGTATTTCTGCTGCAGACACAGAAAGGGAGATGAGATGGTCTCACACATTCCTCTTGGTGTGAACTACAGAGCATCCACTCCCCACTCTGGGGCTGAAACTGTGCAGTCAGCACCTCAGAGCTTAAACACACATTCCAGAGCCTAAGCAGGACTATGCAGAACTGCTGAACCTTCAGCTCCCCCAGGCCTGACAAGGAAGGCACCATTCCAGGCTTTTCCTCACCTTTACATCAGTGCCATCTGTCGGCATGAACTCCTCATAAATGTAGGAGCCTGTCTTCCTCACACTGCTCTCTGGGGAGTACACACTGCTCCGGCTGCCAATCTGAAAGCACAGAATAAACACCTCAGGAAAGAGCACAGGGATCCTTTTCTTAGATGGAAGCAGAAAAGCAGAAGTTTCATCCCATATGTACAGAATTTAGCAAACTTAATGAATTAGCATCTCAGGCCCCCCTGACATTATAGCACACTTATTTATGGAGGACAAAAGAGACCAAACTGCAGGCAGCGAGTATGTCATTTTCCAGGCTTTAAAGAGGAGAAAAGTTATTATAGACTATTAATTTTTCTCCAATCACTTCAAGGATATGGAACAAAAAAAAAAGTGAAGAAAGACCTACAAAGTAAGGAGCCTAACTAATACGCAAATGAAAATAAATTATGACAGGTGATATTACAACCAATTTAATTTCCTTCTAGGACCATGATTGATTTTATCGACATCGAGGATGATGTTTTCATTTTTAGTAAAACTTTGGATAGAACCTTAAGAGGCATACCTGTATCTTACCTAAGAGAACAATAATTTTAGGATTATTCATGCCAGATGTGTAACTGATTGGAAAAAAGATATATCACAGCTATAACTGTTCATTGGCAAAGTGGGGGAAGTGAGTAAGGGCAGATTTTCTGTGGAATTTATGAATAAATACTGCTTTTATCACGTGTGCAAGCTACACTAAATGGGAAGGGCAAGAATGATGTTAAATGACAGGAGTGTAGGTTTTTTGAAAAATTCATCTTGATAAACCCAGGATAAATCAGCATACAATTCAGAAAGGGACACAGCGCTCCATGACTGCAGGATAAAGGTCACCAAGAGGATGGGGAAGGTGAAGTCACCACTACCACTAAAATACATCCTTCTGTGGTTCCCAGGTAGAGGCAGTTGAACTAGAAGTTCTAAGAAGGTCTAAATTTCCCCTACACAAAACATTCCTTTCCCCTTCACCTGTCCCAACACTCCTTCCTGAAGCCACATGGGTCTCAGATCTGTTGGTTCCAACACCAGCTCTGGACACCCCTCCTCACCTTACGGAAGAGCCGCTGGCTGCCCCCTCCTGCTGATGTCGGGTAGTAAATATACACGTTGTGGTCTTCAGCACTGACTGGCTTCTCCACAAATGGCTTTGGGAACACAGCTCCGTTTACCTCCACATGGTCCTCTCCTTCCACCAAGTTGCACTCTGAAGACAGAGTACAGCAGCAGCATATCAGGAAAGGTGAGACAGTTCTAGTGCAGAGCCACAGCCCCGCCCAGGTCCATCAGTTTGTTTTGCTTCTGGGACCTTTGCCCACGAAAAAGCCTAAGAGACTAATGAGTCAGGCTTCTTTGAGGTGCCTGCCAGTATCTGTGCTCTGCAGACTATCTTCAATAGCAGAGCCTGGGGAAATGGCTTTCAGTAGAATTTGGACACTGACCTTCTGGTCTGTCAGGATCCCGATTGAGCACAGCATAGCGGGGCAGGTCTATTCCCTCTTCTTGAAGGATCCGATACACTTCACGCCTGTAGAGGACAGAAGCAGTGCCAGAAGAGTTTAGAAGGTCCTCAGTACACACGAAGTGAAAGACTTCACTCCCACTGATGAAGAATGCAGTCAGATGAACACAAAAAAGCATCAAGACTGCAGCTACTTCTCAGCATATGCTCTCTGGATGAGTCCTACAGGCTATAGAGTTTGCCTCAGTCCTGCTCTGGACACAGGGGCCCCAGAGTAAATCTCTACCCGACCTAAACATGGACACTCAATTATTAGCATGTGCCCAAAGCACGGCAGCACATCCAGTACACACCACCTGCCCAGACCCATCCTCTTGGAGAGTGCCTTGTCATGCCAAGCTGTCCAGTGCACAGGCCTGGCAGAAGCAGAAGGAGCCTTCTTTCATCTCTTGTCAAGGAGCAAACCCCCGTTCTTTCCCTAGTTACACCTTGGGATCCCTGCCAGCACCCACATAACATTGCTCACCACCCCAAAGACAGGGCAGGAGGTTTAGGATCTGTTAGGAGCCCTACTCACACACAGCCAAAGCAGCCTGGCTATAGGAGCTCAAGCACATGGCCACATCATCTGGTAGCCTCTACCAACAGATGACTGAGAAACCTAATGTCTCTGACCAACACAGGTTCCACAGATTCTGACCCAGCCTTGCTCCCAATTTCTGACCCAGAGCCCCATCTCACCACTTGGCTCTCCTGCTTAGAGACTAGTCTTTTTGCTTTAGTTGTGGCAGCCTTGTTCTGTGAGAACTCTTCCATTCCCTACATCCCAGCCACTCCTTACAAACCATTTATCCCAGAAAACAAAGCATGATTTTACACGGTCTCAGTGGTTTCACCCTCAAAGCCATTCCCCTCCATGCTTTGGAGAAACCCCAAAAAGCCACTGCTGAGGTCCCCTTCCTCCTCATCTCACTCCTTTGTGACCAGAAAAATTAAGATTCCACGGCATGCTGAGAAGAATCAGAGGAAGAGGGAAGGGGCTTTAGCAGCTCATAGACACCTACCTGTCCTGGATGTAATACTGCATATCAAGGTCGTTGATCAGAAATGGTTTGCACAGCTTGGCATAAGCAACTGCCTTATCCAGGGGGAATCCTGAAATAGAGGGTGAGGACAGAGGGGAAAGCTGAAAGGAGTTTCCTTGACCACAAGCTCAAGCAGGCTAAGGACTGCTACAGATGCATCACCTTTGGAGTGGAAGGATATCAGGCAGTCACAAGAGGGCCAGTTTTCCACCGGTTCGTTCAGAATAACATCTTCCCCCATGATCACCACTGTGATGTACTCAAACTTGCACAGACGTTCCAGAATCTGTGTCATGGGCTTTGACTTGGACTTTTTGGTCATGGCACAGATTCCCACCACGATCTGCCGCTCTGGAGGCTGACAGAGGTGAAGACAGAGATCAGTTTAGTAGCATTTAATATAACACTGAATAGGGGCCAAAAGCAGTCAGGAGCTAGAGATCATTTTTTCTGCATCCTGTTCCTGGAGGCTACAGAAAAAAATGAACGTTTTCTCTCTGCAGAGACACCTTTGCCCTTTTCACAGGTGTCAGAGTTTTCCCCAAAAATTTCCCTGGTGAAATAGAAAGATTTACAGGAGTGTCAGGTTAAGGCTCTAGAACAAAGAAATACACTAGTTTTCCCAAATCAAACCTGCAAGCAAAAAAGCTGGATTTCCTGAGGCAGTGAGTACAGCAGCATAACGTAATGTGTCCTGTCATAAATGCCACTGCTGTGTCCCACGGCTGTGCCACACAGCCAGGTGCTGTGTCCCCTGCAGTCCCAACTACCTGCAACCCCAGCAGTAACCACGCAAAAGCTGGCTGAGACGCAGGAATTCCAGACAGGTGCTCCAGCCCAGAATGCGGGGACCTCCTTACCGACTCCTCCTCTTCATCATCTTCAAAAAAATCAGTTTCATCTGTCTTCATGTTTGATCCCAGAAATTCTGTCTCGTCATCTCTGGAACCGACAACAAACCTGGGAGCAGAGTTCTCTCCCTCACTGGAGGTCGTCAGGGACGACATTGCAGCTTTGCTGGCCGACCATCCCGCTCTGGAATTACAGTGTGCAAAAGGCAGAGAGGTCAGATGCAGGGTGATCCCAGGGCAGCTGCGTGATGGAAGCAAATGGTGGTGGGGAGGGCAGGGACTGATCTGGCATGAGGGAACCCAGGGATAGTGCTGCCCAGCACAAAAAGAGGGAACAGGAAGACACTCTCAGGGTGGGAGGGGATCTGGAATTCTGGATCATTTTAGATAAGCAGCTCCATTTTGCAATTAACCCCTTTGCAGTGGGAAAGTGTCACCACCAGCACTGAAATCATGTAACCCTTACAGTGATGCATGTCCAACCGCTGCCTAAATCATGGACAGGGACAGGCGACACTCTTGTAGACTCATATGCCCAACAACATCAACTGGGACTCCAGAAGTCAGGATAAAGCTCAGGTCAGTAATAGTGATTTTCCAGTTGCCAATTTTCATCCTTTCAGCTCAAGAAGACCTACAGTAACAGAGAGAACAGTTTGAGAAGTGCAGGAGTTTGCAGGGAGGCAAAAAAAAAAGTGAAAACTCCGTGTCAGATAAAGAGGACACAGAGGGAGCATCAGCAATAGTTTGTGTTGCAAGACTGGGTGTCTGGGTTTGCAAGCTGGTATAGAATCAGAGAATACACCAAGTTGGAAGGGATCCATCAAGATTTGAATCCAGCTCCTGGCCCTGTACAGACATCCCAAGAACTCCACCATGTGCCTGAGAGCATTGTCCCCAGGTTTCTTGAACTTAGACAGGATTAGTGCTGTGACCAGTGCAGAGTGGAACAATCACCTTCCTTTGACCAGCTGCTGAATATATGCTGTGAGTTAGAAACGCCAGGAAAGGAGTATGTCCTCCACTGCAACCTACAAGAGCAGTACTGCCTGCCTCAAGAGGGGACAGAGTCTGAACACACCATTGAACTGACCTGTACCTGCCAAGGACACAGCTGTTCACCCTTGACCTAAGCTCCACCCACAACATCAAGCAGGCGCCTTTCACTGTGCTTTTCCTTATGACAAAGTAACCAAAAGCATTCCTCCTGCATAAGGATCCACTGCTGGATCCACTGGGGGAGCGGACAGTGACCCCACAGAAACCACAGAGGGGACACAGCAAGTCTGGGCTTTGTACACACCACACCAAGAATGATCTCTATCTTAGTCCCATGCACTGAGCCCAGTGCTGCTGCCGCCACAAAATCCTCGAAGCACAGCACAGACCTGGCACTGAATTTCGGTCAGCACGAGTCAGAGCTGATACTCACCATCGGTGCTTGCTGCTAGTGGGAGGAACAGTGCTGGCAGACCAGGCTGTAGAAGTATTTACTGTGCACCCCACATAGCCCTGCTGTCTCCAGAGGAGGACAAGAGTTGCAGTCCCAACACGCTCAGGAACCATTTTCATGCCTGTGTCCTGCCGCCTCAGCACATCACTGCAGAATGAGCCCTTAGCAAGTACGCTATCAGCTTGATGGCTGATGATTTAATGAAGTGAAGCAAACCACACAAAAGGAGGAGGAGGGTTATTTTCTCCAATCCCTTACTCTCCCCTCCCTCCTGGAAAAAAAACAGATCAAGCAGCAGGAAAACCTTTGCCCTAAGAAAGCAGAAAGCAACAACTTCTCTACACTCCTCCTCCTATCCCAGAGAAAATGCCTCTTCCTTGCTCTGTAGCTCTGTTTCAAGGCCATGATGCACCATACTCACATCAGGTAAAAACTCAGAGCCTCACTGAAGATGACAGCCACTGATAGCACAGGCATGCCCATTATGTGAATAAGGAAAGCCTTATGATTTCAGGTGTGGGAGAAGGGTTAACCAGAACCTTTTTATAGTTTTTCTTAAAAGCAGATTCCTTACCGTAGACTTATACCAAGCAACTACAGACTCTTGATGAAACGGAACTTTTAGCTACAGGCATAACTAATGCATTAAAAACTAAGACTGTTGCTCTTAAATGGACACAGGCAAGCGGAGTTCTATTCTGGTATCTAAGGACAGCAACAGGAAGTTTGCCCCCCACACCTGAGCCAGCTCTAGTATTGAACTGGCATGGGGCTCATATGCCAGCAAGGTGGCAATTGCCACCATGGAACCCTTACAGGTTCCTGCACAGCACACAGCCCACACTTTTCACACCAACTACAGCATGCTGATGGTTCTGTCCCTGCTGACTGCTGAGCCAACTGCTTGTGGAAGCCACACATTTCAGCCAGTTCACAGTCGGTGAGAGTGCTATGGGCCTCAGCTCTCACTAATCACAGCAAGAAAAATCAGTGTTGAGTTAATGTAGCTGACTGTGTCATCCAAGGGAGACAAGAGCACTAATGTGGCTCTGGCATATACACACAAAAGGTAAGGATGATTCCGGCTTTGAGTCAGAGTATCCAGGCTTGGTAGTCCTGTCACAGATACAGGACGAGTAGGAGTACATGCCAGCCGCTGCAGCTGAAGACTTTCCTGCTGCACTTCCAAGAAGGGAAGCTGTGATCTGATGCACAGTCATACCAAAGGTTACCAAAAATTACTCAATCAGCAGTCCAAATCTGCTGACACACAACCCTATATTGAGCCATAGACCTTGCCTCTGATGGCTTGGGACTATTTCAGCTCCCTAGATTGCCCTGTATTAGAGATTAGAAGCCATATAGAAAATTTTCGGTTTTCTGGTTCCCCAGCAGATCATTCTGGTGCTGTTCAGATAATGCTGCTCACAAAGTAAAGAAATTCTTCATGCCCTGCTTCTGAGGTACCAGACATTTAAGGTGTGAAGGTGTGATTAGGTCTTGTATTAAGTTTGTAGTCAGTGTGGCATTAACCAACCAAAAAGTGGACTTGCATGTTAGGGCTTTGTTTCATTTCGGTTTTTACAGCAAAAGGTGCAGATGCAGGTGCAGCCTCTGTAGTGCCAGGCTGACGGACAGGAACATGACTTACCATATTGTCAGTGGCAGGAATTTGGGATTACCCTGGCAAACAGAAAGCCAGCAAGCGTGATCCAACTTAGAGCCAAGCCAGGTCAAGCACATGCAGGACCATGACTTCTAAAAATACACAAAGTTGGCATTTTAAAACACTTATACTGGCAATGTCTTGTAGAACTACCTGAAAAAACTGCCTACAACCAAACTGCCTACTACCTACAACCAACCAACCAGTCCAAAAAACCCAACCCTGAAAGCTTAGGCCCTGAGCAATGAAGTACCTTTGCATGCATGACCACTAACACACCTCTGCATGACCAGTGACACAGGGAGAGTTACTTCCACTGTTACAAGGGCTGTTTGCATTAAGGCTAAATCCATATTTTAAAATTGTGGAAGCTATGCTCCTGTCACGGGCACGTAATTGATTCAGAACAGGAACATCATCTATTCTAGGGTTAATAATTAAAACTATTTGGACATGGTGTAGCAGAGAAATCCCTCTGTTCTGGTAACACGGGCATTCAAGGCATTCACAGCCAGGAAGCTGAAGTGAAGTTCAGTCGATCCAAGCTGCGCTTTCGGGGAGGCCGAACACAGAGGGAGCCGCAAAGGCGGAGGGCGGAGCAGAGCGGAGCGTCCCGACAGTGCCTCGGTCTGCCCCGCACAGTGGCGAGACCCGTCCGTGTCTTACATGGCTCGTAACGAAATATTTAATCAGACTCCTGAGACCTCTGTAAAGCGTGAAAACCTCAGCACCGGGAACTCCTCCGACACGGTCGCTGCCACTGAGAGTTTACTGCAGGGGGCCGCTGCCGCTCCACCTCGCGTACACCGTGGCGGCTTCACCAACACCGGCCTGCCAGGCTTGGGAGAGACAGCGGCCCCGGAGAGCGGGGCAGAGGCGCAGGCAGGGCCAGGACCGGGCCGGAGAGCGGCGCGACCTCTGGCAGCCCGGCAAAGGGCGAGCCGCGCTGCCAGGAGAGCGGGCAGCACCCAGCAGCACCGGCACGCACAGGCCCCGAGCGGCCCGCGCGAGCCTCGCCCGCCGCTGCGCCCGAGTCGGGCGGAGCTCCCGCGCCGCGGGAGGCCGGGCCCCGGGCCCGGCGGGCACAGGCGAGGCGCGGGGCGGCACGAGACCGGGCCGCGCCTCGCCGTGGCGCCGCCGCTGCCGCCCACCCGGCGCTCCCCGACAGCCGCCGACAAACAGGGCCCGGCAGCGGCGCGATCGGCCGCCCTACCCGTCCCCGCCTTGGGCTTCGCTTCGCTTCCCGCCCCGGCCCCGGCCGGGCCCCGCGGCCGCCCCTGCCCGTTCCGGCGGCAGCAGGGGGCGCCACGCCAGGCGCCGCCATTTCGCTCCGCTCACCTGCGGCCTCCGAGCGCACCCTGCGCTGCGGGCGCTGCCGCCAGCCAATCGCCGCCTGCTGACGGCCCTAGGCAGCCAATTGGCGCGGAGGAGGCGGGCCGGCCGGGACGCGCGCGGGCACGGCATGGCGGCCCCTGGCGGCGGCGGCGGGACCTGCAGCGCGGCCAGACGCGCACGTGGGCGCGGGCCCCGCTCCGGGCCCGTGCTGGAACGGCAAACGTGCGACTGCACCGGGCGGGACAAGCGCCCGGAGCAGACGTACCGTCTGGGCGCGCGGTTCCGTACCCTGCGGCCACTTCCCGTGTGCCAGAGCAGCGTAGCTGTGCGCCAGCATCTCCCGCCCCTTGGGGGTCTGCGGTAGCGAACGCGGCGCACTTCATGACCCGCCGGTGCGGCCCCGTCGGTGTGGTGGGCACTGCGGGAGGGCTGGTGACCGCCGAAAACAGGTTCCCGACCCCGGGACCCATCGCGGACCGCACCCCGTCAGGAGCTGCGGTCGCCGCTCCCGGCTTCTGGTGGACAAACTTTGACCCGGCCGCGCCCGCCCGCCCCAGGGCGCGGCGAGGGGCTCCGGAGCGTAGGTCCCGGTGCGGAGCCGGCCCGTCTCGGCGCAGCCGCCCCTCCGGCGCTGTCCGGCGAGCGGTGCTGAAAGCGGCGGCGGCCTCGGTGGGGCGGGGCGGGGCGGGGCAGCCGAGCAGGTGGCGGTGCCGCCAGGCCCCCCCGTACCCCGCCGGCTCCCCGCCCCCCGCGCGCCCCGCCGCCGTTCCCGTTCCCATTCCCGTTCCGATTCCCCTCACGTCCGCTGCCCGCCCCGGCGCGCTTGCTCCGCCGCTCCGACATGGCCAGCACCTTCGCCCGCGCTCTCTCCGCTCGCCGCTCCGCCGGCCTCCTGGCCATGGTGGGCGCCGGCTCTCTCACCGCCGGCTTCCTACTCGCCCGGGACTCGGTCAGCGCGGGCGACCGCCAGCGTCGGCGATACCCGCCCAGGTAATGTGCGCGGGCGGCGGGGCGCACGGGCGGGGGGCGCCGGGCGGGGGACGATCCCTGCGGTACTGGCACCGGCACCGGGGGCGGGCGCGGAGGCCGCCCCCCGGCTCGAGCCTGGGCGGCGGGTCCCGGAGCAGCTCACGGGGGCGGCGCGATGGACGCTGCTCGTCCATGGCGGGAACGACCGGGAGGCCCTGAACTAAGCCCGTCCGGGCCCGGGGCCCCGGGCCACGAGAGGGACGAAGCGGCCGCAGGGGCTCAGCCGTGTTGGATGTTGGATGGATCCGCCCCGCCTCGGGCTGCTGGTGACCGGGGCGCCGGCCCCGCCGGCCCCGCGCACAAGGACACCGGCACAGCTGCGACCCGGGTCCGGTCCCGCAGGGACTAGAGAGAGCGAGTCCCGGCTCTCCGGGGTTCGTCGGGGTTTTCACGGGACCCGCGCTGGCCGGGGCTGTGAGGGCTGCGGGGGCCGCCCCGGGCACATTGCCGTGTCCGGGGGTTGGCTCTGGGCGCTGCGGTCCGGGCACAGAGCCCCGGAGCTGCCAGCTGCCCTGGGTGGTCCCAGAGTACCAGGACAAGCCGCTGCAGCCAGGGACATGCGAGAGCGGGAGGGGACAAATGCTTGAGAGTAGGATTGGGGTCCTGGGGGACTTCCCGGGATGACTGGAATGGCAGAGATTGGAGCTGTTAGAGAGACAGCAGTGCTGGGACGGCCAGTGCCGGTGGGGACATAGCCCAGGCTCTGCCCAAGAGAAGCCAGGGAGACTTTGCCAATGTCCTGGTAGGAACAGGATGGAGCAAAGGGTCCATTTTGTCCTGCTGGCAGAACTCCGAGGATCTCTGACTGTGGGAGCTGGTGTCAGAGCAGCCCCTGGCCCGACCTCATCTGGCTGTACCAGCCTTCCCACACGCCTGCCTTTGGGACAGGGACTCCTCTATTGAAAAGAAAAGCTTTGCTGGCAGGTCCTGGCTCTTCTCTCTCTGTTTTTAAAGGGAGAGCTGGAGGGGCCTGTGGGTGCTGAGCAACAGCCCCAATGGGCGGATTTTGGATGACAATGAGATGTGCAGTCAGGACTTCAGGGAGGTGGGCACAGAGTTGAGCTGGGCCAAGTGGGCACTTACACGACCACAGGCTGGCTTAGGGGTGCTTTTGAGGTAATGCTGGCTCTGCAAGAGCCCTGGCCTTATTTGCAAGCCCAGCGCCTGATCCCTTAAGCCAGATAAGTGTCACAGCTGCAGCACAATGCTAAGGTTCAAGCTCTAGACCAGAAGCTCTCACGTCACTCCCGTCCAAACAGTTCTTTGCTGCCCTAGGAAGCCCAGCCATACCAGGAGGGCCAAGCACCTCACATTCCCACGGTTCCACTTGCCATCACTTGCCATGGCAGAGGCTGGTCCTGCCCAGTGTTTGTGCTGCCAGCCCTGAGGACCACAGAGCAGCACGGCGCCAGACAGGACTGGACGCAGTGGCTGCCTGTGTCTCACAAGAGCTAGGCAGAGCAGGAATAGGGCCAGGCCAGAAGGGGAGAGGGACGTTGCGGCCACCAGCCAGTCCTTATGCTGGCAACAGCTGCTTGGCTTAGCACATCTTAGAGGCGGGCCAAGAAAACAAGGACTGAGTTTTCCTGCCCATCCCAATGCCAGCAGAGACTGTGCACAGGGAAGGAGCAGGGTGGGAAGGAGGCAGCATGTTGATGCTCCAAACACCGGCAGCTGCTGCCATCCCTGCACCAAATGCCGACAGTCAGAGCGGTGTGTTGCGGTGCTGCATTGCAGACTGGGAACCCTGGGCATGTGGAGGGCTTGTAAGGAGTTGGCACTGGGGCTCCGGCAAGCTGCGTTGGGCTACAGAAAGTCAGGGACAGAAATTGATTGAGCTCATAGAATTACAAAGGCTGGATGTTATTGATTATTTACCTCCCAAGAAGGGGATGTTTTACAGCTTTCTGAACAACTGCAGAGACACAGATATCAGATCAGGAGGGGATGAAGTCAAGGTGAG